ACCTGCACAACCACCTCAGATGGGCAGAGGGGAGGGCTGAGGGTGCCATGGGACCTCTGTCTCTCAGAGGCTGGGGGTGGGGGCCTAGGAGGGCCAGGGTCATCTGAGTGAGGGTCAGCGGAGGGAAGGCACTGCTCAGGCACTGGAGACAGGCCCGGGTGTGGACAGGGATGAACTCAAAAGTGCGCAGAGAAGAAGGGAGCCTGCAGAGCACCAATGGCCTCCCTGGGCCGAGATCTTGGGTCATAAGAGAAAGCCCCTGGAGGCGGACATTCCCCAGCCACAGCCACTGCTGTCAACATCCCCTGTGCCTCTCACCAGGATGAGGTCTGATTATTCCTCTAATTAGGCATCAAATGACAGACCATGTCTCTGTTACACGTAATTGATCCCCCACTGACTAGTTTTAGAAGGAGCATTCAGAATAATTGCCCATGAAAACATGTTCCTGAGATGTCGAGCTTTGGGAATCTGAACATCCCCCGCAGAGGCCCTGTTCCCATAACATGTTCGCAGACCCCGGGCGGGCAGGGCCTGTGCCGGTGCCTGTCGTGGTGTGAGGCTGAGGGCGGCGCTCCAGCACCGTCAGCAGGACAGCAGCCTGCCGCACCTCCCACGTCACACCGTGGGACCCGGGCCAGCCACGCCATCCTAAGCCTCACTTTGCTCCACTTGTGAATGGGGATGGGGGTAGCTGAGGCTGGAGTCAGGGATGCTTGCTTATTGTGAGTTTCAGATTCCAGAAGAACATTCTGATCTCTAAAAGCTGGAAACCAAATTCCAAATTAGGGTTTTTATTTGACATTGTAAATCCCTCAGGGCACAGTGTCAGTTACTAGATCACAGAACCCCAGAACCATGCCAGCTCCTTCCTAGAACAGGTGAGGAAACTGAGCCATGGGAGTAGAAGGATCGTCCCAGAGTCCCTGCTAGGACATCATTGTTCAGATCCCCTGCTCAGCTGGGAAGTACTCTAGCATATCTCTGTCCCTGAATTTCTAGATTATCTTATTTGAGGGGGAGGCATTGGCAACCTTACCATCAGAGGGAGACACTATGCTCAGAGGAATCAGTCCAGGCCTGCACCTTTTCCCTCTTCACAGGAAAGCGTCATTAAGCGCTGCTTGGAACTTTGGCGAAGCCTTCTCTTCCGTTGACTACATATGTAGAGAGGAAGGTTTGCCAGTCCTTATCTCCATGGAGGCTGTATCATCTCTGAAAATGGATGGTGATGTGCTTACTACAATAGGTAAATGAGATGGAAGCTGAAGGCACTAGAGCCTGACCATACTCACTGTTCCCTACATCACAAGCATCAGAGCCCTCCTTCCTGAGGCCTGGGTCTTCCAGGCCTCAGACCCAGGGTCTTGCTAGGTCATGGGTCACCACTGAGTTCATCACATAATCTCTCTCTTCATCTGGTGAGGACAGGACTGGAGGGTGCCTGCCTCTGAGCTTTCCTTCCCAGATCCAAAGGTAGCATGGGGGTGGGGAGAAAGAGTGGGTGAGAGGACTCAGCTTGGTTTAGTTCTGTTTATTTTCCTTGAGGGGTGAGGACCCTGGAAAAGAGCGTGATTAATTCACTGATCCCCTGCGGGGGGGGGGTGTGTGGCAGCTTTCCCGGGCTGTTTGGAAGCTGAAGTTGGGAAGTAGCTTCCAAGGCAACGGCTACCATGGCAACAGGAGTACCAGCCATGGGGGAACTTTGTTCCTTTATCCCCTCTAGACCTAAGCAGCTGGAGCAGTTGGCACAGGACCAGGCACTGCTGTTCATGGAACTAAGTTTGGTGAGGGGCAGTCAGCCAGGAAGGAGGAAGGGCCCTGGAACTCAGGCAGGTGGATACCTGGAGGGACAAGGCTTGATCCCTGTGCCCAGGCCCCAGGTGGGGCTCATACAGGAATCCACTGGTTCTGCCTCAACCAGGAGGGGCTGGGGCTGAGGCCTGACGTCTCGGACACTCCACTCTCTGCGATCTGCTCTCTCCTGTGGTCCAACCCAAGGGGAAACCCTAGATCCTGGGAACTGGCTACGACAGTTCCAGGTCCCAGAGCCTCCTGCCGTGTGGCTGCCACATCTGCCTCTGCCCAGCAGAGCCAGGCACATGGCCTGGTCCTCAGGAAGAACAAGGCACTTCCCAAGGTTGCCTAGTGAACAGTGGCAGAGGGAGGACTAGAACTCAGGGCCCCTGGCCCCTACATCTGCCCCTTGGGGTCAGGGACCCCACCCCAGAGGGGCAAAGCAGCCTGTCAGCAGGAGGATCTCACAAAAGGGCCAGAGGCCAGGCCCATCTGGAAAGCCCAGACCTAGCTCCACCCACACAAGCCAAGGCCAGGGGAAGGCGTATCTCCATCCCTGGGACTCAGTTCAGTAATTCTGCCCCAGGAGATAATAAAAATAACCAAAACTATCATAGCTAACAATTACTGAGTACTTACTGTGCATGCCTGGAACTGCTCTTACACTTTACCTTGATTAATTTATAACTTTCACAACAGCCTGCCCAATTTTTGGTTAAAGAAACAGAGACCACCCTCCCACCCCCCCCACCTCCCACCCCCCAGAGATGAAGTAACCTGCCCAAGGCCCAAAGCTACTAAATAGCAGAGCTGGGATCTAAACCCAGGCAGCACAGCTCTGGGTCCCAAACCTTTCTGGAAAGAATTTCAGTTCCACCTTCTTAGCTGTACAGCCCCAGGGCAAGCTATTTTTTTCCCCCTTTTCTGCTTAGTTTCTCATGTTAAGTAGGGTAAAATAATAGTACCTTACGGCAAAGGACTGCAGAGAGAATGAGATGTTGCCTGTAAGCTTCTCAGAAAGAACATGCTATTTAGTAAACGCACACGAATGCTAGCAAAACCAGAGTAGGTGCAGCAGCATGTAAGCGGAGGAGTGGAGGAGGAGAGAGGCCTTGCCAGGCGGACTAGGGTGAGGAGGTGGGATGTAGAGGGCACAGCCTGAGCAAAGGCACAGAGGCAGGAGAGACCAGCTGGAGCTTCAGACAGGGCAAGGTGGGGGTGGGGAGGGGGAGTGCTTGGTCCAGGAAGCCCCTGAAAGTCACATCCCAGCTGTGCCAACCTGAAGGACTGACGGGGTTGGGGCTGGAGTCTAGAGATAAAACTCATACCCTGGTTCTGAGTCCCTACGGACTGGGAGACTTTGAGCCAAAAGGCTCAGATTCTGCAGGCCTGATTTCCTCCCTCCCTCCCTCCCTCCCTCCCTTCCTTTCCTTCCTTTCTTCCACCCTTCCTCCCTCCCTCCCTTCCTTCCTTCATTCCTTCCTTCCTTCCTTTCCTCTTTCCTTTCTTTCTTTTCTCTCTCTCTTTCCTTTCTTTCTCTTTTTACAGACAGGATGTGAGAGTAGCAAGGGTTCCTGCAAAGGGAAACCTGCCATCAGAGAGTATGTCATCATCCACATGGAGGCATTCACAGTACAGGACAGCTGGCAGCTGGGCCCACCCCCAGAGTGAAGAGCCCCTAATACCAGCTCCCCACTCTGCTCTCCCCAGGGTGAAGAGTTGCCAGGGTACATAGTCCACTGCCCTGATGCTTGGACATCTCTTTTGCCATCTCCTTGGGAACTTGTAAGGGCCCTTCCTGCCTTAGCTCTTTCCAGCCTGGTTCTGAGGATTTCATGGGACAAGATGCATGAAGGCCACCTGCATGATGAACATGCAGCTGTGGATGCGGGGCACCATTTTTCTTTGTAGCCAACTCTGGAAGGACAAACAAGTCCTGGGGACACAATGGAGCCTCAAGAAGGGCTCAGAGCTGCTTTCGACAGAGGGGAACTTTGTTCCCACTTGGGTTGGTGGGCTGGGCTGGGCTGTGCACAGGGCATGTCTGTTAAAGCCTGTTTGGAAGCCAGCTTGTGTGACAGTTGGTGCCACCACCTCTTTCACTGGATGGGGAGATCCCAAAAGGCAGGAGCTGTTTCTTACTCATCTCTGGGCCTTGGCTCAGACTAGGAGATGGACAAATGTTTGATGAATTTCATTTCCTCGTCTAAAAAAGAAAAGTAGATCAAAACCACCATGAGGTACCACCTCATACCGGTCAGAATGGCCATCATAAACAGATCAACAAACAACAGGTGCTGACGAGGCTGTGGAGAAAAGGGAACTCTAGTACAATGTTGGTGGGAATGCAGACTGGTGCAGCCACTGTGGAAAGCAGTGTGGAATTTTCTCAAAAAGCTGAAAATGGAACTGCCTTTTGATCCAGCGATTCCCCTGCCAGGACTATACCCTAAGAACACCAAAACGCCAATACAAAAGAACCTATGCACCCCAATGTTCATAGCAGCACAATTTACAATAGCCAAGTGTTGGAAGCAACCTAAATGCCCATCAGTAGATGATTGGATCAAAAAATTATGGTACATATACACAATGGAATACTACGCAGCAGAAAGAAAAAAAGAACTACTGAACTTCGCGACAGCATGGATGGAACTGGAGAGCATTATGCTAAGCGAAATAAGCCAGGGGGTGAAAGACAAATACCATATGATCTCACCTATAAGCGGAACCTAACCAACAATACAAAGATGCAAGGAAAATATGACCACCAACACTGAAAGGAAAAGAAATCAACAGAGACAAGAGGGAAGGCGGTGGGATGGGCAGGGAAAGGGAAGGGAAGGGGAAAGTCAAGGAACATATAGCAAGGACTCATGGACAAAACCAAAGGGGAAGAGCTGAAGGAGGGAAGGAGGGAGGGGGCAAGGGAAAGTGGTTGGGGGGAGGCAGAGACAAATGTATTTAAAAAAAATTTATGTTAAATAAATCAGTTTTAAAAATAAAAAATAAATAAAAAAATAAAACAGAAAAGTAATCACGTCTCCTTCACCTTGTTTTATGAATCCAATGAGGTGCTGCATGTAGAGGTCCTGACAAGGGGCACTGGTGGGGATCGGCCCCTCCTCCCCAGAAGGCCTGTCTCCTCTTCAGGTTTGCACATGAAGAAAGGACTACCAGGAAGGCCACAGCTACAATTTACACGTTTTATTAAAACAAGCTCAATGTGTCATAGCATCGTTGTGTTGTATAAAGGTCTGACATACGCATGTCAATTTTCTTCAGGATAACTCAGCAGCTCAGCTTATATGATCCCAGGTTTGCCTTCACGTTCTCCAGCAGGCAGCAAACTCAGGTGGCTCCGAACAGGGCTGGGCTGCCTTGGATGTGGCTCTACCTCAGGCACAGAGCTCCTTGTAACTGCCCCAGACCTGTGCTGCCTTCCACACCAGGCCCGAGAGAGATGAAGCTGCAGACTTGGTCTCTAAGGCACTCATCTCCTAATCGCTTAAAACCAGTTAGAATAATAGGAAACTGCCAATTAAAACCTTTCAAAAGTATGGACATTCAGCAAAAGAAGAGCGAGCCTTTGTATGCTCTGGCAAGTCCGTGGGCTTGCAGTGGGAATTTAAACTCCTATCTTTGCTGGAAGAGCATGGTTAAAAAAAAAAATTTTTTTTAAAGCGAAATAATACTGACTTCAGAAGCAATCCCAACCAAACAAGGAAGAGGATGATAAATGAGGGACATGCTTCGGTCACGGCAAAGAAAGATTATGTGCTTCTCTGTGCTCCAGACTGGAAGACTGATCTGGCTTCCAGAACGCAGTCTCTCTGCCCTTCCCTGAATTGAGGGGATGGCTTTGCTCAGCCCTGGGGGAGGACATCCAGAGGACAGAGGAAGGTAGAAGGACCGACTGAGCGGGGGTGACAGTGCAGGGAGGGAAGAGCCTCTGTCAGCTTCTCAAGGCTGGCTCCCCGAGGGCTGCAGCCCCAGCGCCACTGCCGCTCATTCACGAGAGCAAGCTGGATCCAGGATCTGCAGGCGGAGAGCAGGTGGGCAAGAGCCCAGCAGAGATGTCCCTGCCTCAGGCGATTATGCAAAGTGACAAGTGATTGCTTTCCTTTTCAAAGACAACCCCTTTGGAAAAAGCTTTTTCCTTGAGGTCTCCAGGGAAATGGGGGTTGGATGGGAACCTCAGGGCCTTGGTGGACAAAAAAACCCTGCTGCAGCCACGTGGCCGTCCCTCTGCCATCTTGAAGACTATGGCCTCACAGGTGCCCAGGGGGCAATGCCTGGGCAGGCCTAGGGCCTGAAAGGTGTGACTGGAGTCGGTCAGAGAGCTGAGGGTGCTGGGCACGATCCCTCATCTCCACTGCGGCCTGCCTGGGCCAGGGCCCTCCGACGGGCCAGGCGTGACTTGGAGGGAGGGGAAAGCTTCATGGAACAGAGGTCCTCGGCCAGTGCCTTTGACTCCTCTGCCAGTTCATTCTCCTCGTGCTGAGACAGCTGGCGATTAAGGGCAATGGCCTCTGCTGCGAAGAGTGTCAGGTCCACGGTGCTGCTATTTCTGCAGCAACAGAGGAAAAGCAGAGAAAAAAAGGGAGACAGGACTCAGTGGCCTCAGCCAGGCTAGTTCCTTGACACCCCCAACTGCTGCAGTTCCATACTCCCGCCAGTTTTGCTGAGCCGGCACGGGGCTGCTCTCTCCAGTCATTCTTGCATCGGTTTGCAATCTGATTTCACTGAGGCCATAATGGCTTTGAGTCTCAATTACTGTCCTTGGACTTAAAGAGGACTTTCACTCAGAATACCCTCCTCTGCATGGAGCCCTATCAAGAGAAAGGGCCTTGGCACATGAAGCCTGCTCATGTATATCCCTCTCTCCCATCAGGGCAGGGAGCTCCAAGAGCAGGGACTGTGCTTTTGTGTCTGTGTCCCCAAAAGCCAGCTCAGCACTGGCACATAACAGGCACTTTGGGTTTGCTGAATAAATCTGCTAAGGTGGATCTGAGGTTTGGAGCCTCAAAGCATCCGGATGCAGCTCTAGAGAGTCAGGTAGGAGCCCAGGATGAGCAGTGGCGTTCTGGCTCAAATGAATTGAGATGACAAAGGTGTAAGACTTCCCTATGTAGTTCCTAGAAACTGGCCACGAGGTTGGTTCCTGGAGGAGTTCCCACAGTGCTTTAGCGATGGCCCTTTGGGAATAGGGCAGTGCTCACTAAGAATGTAAGTGTTAAAAGGAACTTAAGTCGAAGAGATCCAAGTTCAAAGTCACACTTGCAAGGTTACCGTGTGGCCCTGAGTAAGTTATCTTCATCTTTCTGTGCCTTAGTTTTCTAAACTATAAAATGGGGTAATAGGAATACCTGTCTTTGAAATTTATCATGAAGACTATGGATATAATCTATATAAAGTCCCTCGTACCATATCTGGCGTGTGGTATTTACTATACAGTGGCCATTATTATTAATGCTTGTCTAGTAGTATATATATCTAGTAGTATATATATCACATTTGATCCTACTGCCTTACAGTGCCCCCGATTCCTGCTACCTTCACCAAACCATGGCAGCAGAAGGAAAGCTTGGTGTAATAACCCACAGATAAGGTCTGTTTTGGGGCTCCAAATGGTAATTTCCAGTTAGGATTTGAGTGTTTACGCAAAGCAGGTTTTTCTCCTACAGACAGCCCAGGGAGAGGCCTTGAAGGTGCTGGAGGGCCGGGGAGGAGCAGAGGGAGACATTTACTGCAGGGGGTAAAGAGAGAAAGAGAAGTGGGGAGAAGGCAGGCCAGGGAGCCACTTCAGGGGGAGGATTACCTGAGCTCCCCGTCCCCCACCTGCATCTCAACGTGGCTGAGCTTGATAGTCAAAGCCAAGGAAGGAAGGGTGTTGGGTGTGCTGGGAGCTTTACCTCTGGAGGACTTGCGGTGTGGGGAGTCCCCTTTCTGGAGCCTGCTGGAATGGGAAGGAGAGACGCGTGGGTCAGTGCTCCCTCCTTCAGGAGCTGCCCCCTCCCACGCCAGCAGAGTGAGTAGGTTACTCCGGGCTCTCACCCAACTCAGGGCCGTGGCCAGGCTTGACTGCAGGGTCAGATCTTCCAAGTAGAGAAAAAGCAAGGGACAGCCCTCCACCCAGCTGCCTCTGCATGGAGAGCCCTCTCTTTGACTGGAAAAGTCTTAATCATCCTCTAAGACCCTAGGGTCCCTTTCCCCTGTGAGACATTTTCCATTCCCTGACACTTCCCAACCCCTGCCTGTCCAAAGTAGGGGCGGGTCATTTTCTGCTGGTGCCCCAAGCATCTGCCAGGCTATCCTGTCACTTTTTCCCTTGTTTCCCTCTCCCCATTTGACCATGAAGAAAGGGACTGGGTCTAACTCATCCCACTATTACCAGTGTTTGACATGGTGGGTACTCAGCAAAGACAGCAACTCTTGAGTGGTTGGGAATTAGCCACTCAGAGACACTGGGTAGCGCCCCACCTGTAACATGGGGTTGTGGGGGCCACTGAGGCTGACTAGGGCCTGGAAGACGAAGGAGACACAGTGACTTTCAGGAGGTCTGGCAGACCCCTTGGAGGGACAGACGTCAGGTCCCATGGCTAACTAAGGAGGATGGTTAAAAATGTTTTCTAGCGAAGACTTAGATCCTTACTTTGGTGAAAATGACATCATTTTTGCCTTTCGAGCAAGCTGCCCCCAAGCCCCAGGACCACAAGCAGAACGTACATATGCGCTGCTAATGCAGCCACACAGCAAGCAGGGCATTTGCTTCTGGGTGCTTTCAGCAAATGATCTTTTTGTACAAGGGGATGGTACTACAGGTCCCAGTGACGACACCAGGCTGCTTCCTGGGCTGTATGGCTCTGCCAATAGTGGGATACATGTGCTGAATTCCGCAGAGAAGGATGGGTCAGCTAGGACCTCAGTCTGTAACCAAGCTTAGAGCCAAGTCTATGGCCAGTATGGGACTCAGGGTGGGGCTTGGTTAGGAGCCAGTTCACTCTATGTGCACAGGAATTGAAAGTGCTAAACAATCTCCTTCCAGCTAAGGTCAGCCACCTGGGTATGAGAGCTTCCTCACGACCATGCTGAAGGCCTGAGGGCATGGAATGCCACCTTTCCCTGGGTTACTCACCCCCTGCACCCATGGGTGCTGCAGAACTTGGGCGGCGCTCAGTCTCTGCTTCGCATCTCGAACCAGGAGCTTGGAGATGAGGTCTTTGGCCTCACTGGAGATGTGTGCCCAGTCCTTGTCAGGAAACTCATACTTGCCTTCTTGGATGCTTTCAAACAGTTTGTTCTAGGTAAAGAAGGTTCCTGTTGAGGTGACACCGGCCAGGGGTGGGCAGGATGTGCCTGTAATTGATGTAGTCACTCTGGGTCCAACTGGCCTCAACTGAGGCTGTAGCTCATGGCTGGGGTATGCCACACACTTGCCACACTCTCCCCTAAATCATCAAAGGACACAGAATGCCCTTGGCAGGCAGGATGACCATGCTACTTGGCAGGCTGGGTGTTGATGTGTGGGAAGTATCAGTTAGAGAACAAAGCTGGGAAGCCATGGCCCATCATGCAGGGCACTCCAGGAATGGGCTGCTGGCAACCTTTCAGGTCTCATCTCCCACGACCATCAGCCTTGTACCCTACTCTTCTTCCATCTACACATTTAGCTGTTGCAAACCTTCATCTCTTTGCTTGTGCTATTCTTCTGCTTGTATTTCTTGCCCCTCTCCTCTAAGTAAGGTGCATCCTTTCAGACTCAGCTCAGGTATGATCTTCTCTAACAACCCTCCCTGAAATCCAAGGTGGGCTACGTGACCAGTTATCTCTATTTCACCGTGTGGCTGCCCTTGGACACAAGAGGGAAGGGGCACTACATACCCCTTTCCACGTCAGGAACAATCCCCACACCCAGTTCTGCCCGGCATCCCACAACCATGCTGACTTCCAGCTGGCCCTCTGCAGTGGGTCCTGGGAGTGCGCTCACCTGGCACACCCTGCAGACCTCTCCCTGGTCCCAGCCACAGTCGGCCCCACAGTGACCTACAAAGGGCGGGTAGCCACTCAGCATGATGTAAAGGACCACTCCCAGGCTCCACAGGTCACAGCGCTTGTCGTAAAACGTGGCCTCGTCTGTGAAGACCTCCACCACCTCCGGGGCCATGTATTCTGCAGAGCCGCACTGTGGGGCCAGAGTTGGGGAGGGGGGAGTGGCAGAGAAGACAGAGGCTTAGTCACAGGGAGAGGGGATGGCAAAGAGCAGAATGTAATGGGACTTGAGCCAGAGGATACAGTTGCAGAGCAAGAAGCTGTCAGGAAAGCCAGCCAGAGAGCTCACCTGACACCATCAAGGCACTTAGAAAAGCTGAGCCAACTGAACTTTTGGAAACTGAGTCCTATCATTCCCCGTGATTCACGTGACTTGTTCCAGGTCACCTTCTTATCATTTTAGGTCTTTTTCTAGTAGGCAGAGACCCTTGGTGAAGAAGCTCTAGGAATGTCTCCCTGCCTCAGCTCTCTGTTCATAGTTACGTAATGTATAGATACTTCAGTGTATCAGAAGCACGGTTCTGGGAGGGAGATCTGTGGAGGTTAATTCCATAAAGCATGGTTTTCTTAAAGTGAAGTCCTGCCCAGCTTCCCTGCTACCTTAGAGTGAGCAAGTACAAGGATTTAGAATTAAGAGACCATCAAAGCTAGGACTCTTAGAACAAATCTAATCTCTCTGCTTCTCCCATTTATAGATGGGAAAGCCAAGTACTAGAATGGGACAGGGATTTATTCAAGCAAATCAGTGGTAAACCCAGGATCCAGGATTCCTTCCTCCCATCCTTGCACAGAAAACTGCTGATAAAAATAAAAAAAATTCTTTTTGCTCTCCTCTTCATTATTTCAGATTCATCAAGAGACACCCCTCCCACCTCCAACACACACACATAACTAGTTTGATGGAAAGACAGTAAGTGGAGATAGGGCATTTTCTGTTACTGGCAATTAGAGTTAATGACTTTGAGAATAAGGTAGCTCAGTGTCATAAAGGCTAATACAAAAACATTTCTAATAATGTTGCTTAGAAGAAGGCATGGGCATAGTCAAATGAATGTCTTAAAAAAGGTTATAGGAAAATTCACTTATAAAGCAAGCAAATCTCAAAAGAATCATAATCATAGTATATTGACTATGTACAGAAATGTCTTAGAAGAAGCAGCTCCCAGCAGCACCATCTGGGCAGGAAGTGTGAAGTGAGAGAAGCAACAGGACAATTCAGCCAAGCAAGGCTACGTGCAGAGAACCCGGGACTTCAGTTCTCATCACAGAGAGACCGCACTCCCCATCCCCCATCACAAGCTGATGCACTGGGACTAGGACTCTCTGAGCTATCATGTGTTCATATGTCAAAGAGCTGACCCAGGAATGGTGTCTGTCTTTACCTGGGTCAGGATCCAGAGCTCAGCCTGTTCTTACAGACATAATTTGTCTCATCATTGGCGAGGACGCATCCCAAGCTAAAAGCTCTAGTGTCAGTTTCATTAGCAGCTAAGCACTGGGGCAGGGAGGACATTATCAGTACAAAGCAGTGAGCCAAATGACAAATCAGATGGCAGGAAGAGGTGTAAATATGCTTGCTTTTCCTTCCTTAGCCCACTGTTCTGGACTCCAGAGCTTTGGGTCAGGGGCACTCCAAATGTACAGAAGCTCAGAAGAAGGTGGCACGGGGTGTCCAGCCATACGTACTGGAGTGGTCAGCTCTGGTGTAGTTATGGGGGTGCAGGAGTTATTCAGTTTCACCCCACTGCCCAAGTCAAAGTCACAGATTTTCACTGGAGACACCTGAAAGGGAAAGCAGAGAGTAAAGGTTACAAATATAAGAAACCAAACGGCATGAAGACCAGGAGGTGACTATGTGGGTGCATACTTATGTGCCTGCTACATCGAAGCCCAGTTTTACCTGTCAGGTCATGTTTACTTCCCTCGGGTTAATTAGAAAGCACCTGAGGATGTATCCTAAGGTGTTCTCTTCCCTGTGCTCTTTCCTTATTTCCCCACTAAGAGAAACTATGCTTCAGACTACTGTGAATTTAGTATAAAACAAGTAGCAAACCTAGGGAACTCTTGCCAACAAACAAAGTATGTATAGGGTGCAACACAGGAGTTTGAAAAGTTAGTATGTGTTCCTGGGACATTCCTTGCAGACCAATTGGTGGAAGGCAAAGGAGTTATGAGTAAAACTCCTGACCATCTCAGGTGGCTTAGGGTGACCACTTGTCTTTGCTTGCTTGGGCCTTTGTTGGTTTAAGCCCTGTAAGTCCTGTGTTTCAGGAAACTCCTCAGGCCAGAGCAAACCGGGATGGCTGGCCACTCCAGGAGTTACCGATATAGCAGCCATGCCCACCAGAACTGGATGCTGCACCTGAGACCACAGACAGCATGAGTTATCTCTGGAGCCATCCAGGAAGGCAGTTTGTGGACACACGTGAGAACGGCCTGTGTGGTGGAAGCAGCACAGCGACTCAAAAATGCTGGTTCTGTGAGTCTCAGCTCAGACATTTACTTGCTGGGGGAGTCTGAACAAGTCTCAACGGCTCCTTCTTCCCTTTCTTTCCTCCCTCTCTCCCTTTTCTCCTCCCTCACATTTTTTTTCCTTTCTCTTACATTTTTTCTTTTCTTTTTCCACCTAGCCTCTCTTTTTTTTTATTGTGATAAAATACGCACACACATACATATACAAAAACATAAAATATGCCATTACACTATTTTTAAGTGTACAATTCAGTGGCATTAATTACATTCACACTGTTGTGCAACCATTAATGGTATCTGTTTGCAGACCTTTTCCATCATCCCAAACAAAAACTCCGTACCCATTAAGCAATAACTCTCTATTTTCCCCACTCCTAAGCCCCAGTAACATCTAATTTACTTTCCATCTATGTGAATTTATTTATCCCAGATATTTCAAATAAGTGGAATCACACAATATTTGTCCTTTTATATTTTACTTATTCCACTTATCATAATGTTGCCAAGGTTCATCCATTTTGTAGCATGTTTCAGAACCTCATTCAGTTTTATGGCTGATCAATATTCCATTGTATGTATACTCACATTTTACTTAGCCATTCATCTGTTGATGGACACTTGGGTTGTTTCCAGCTTTTGGCTATTGTGAATAATGCTGCAATGAACATTGATGTTCAAGTTCAAGTCTCTGTTTTCGATTCTTTTGGGTATACACATAGGTGTGGGATTGCTGAGTGGTATGATAATCCTATGTTTAGCTTTTTAAGGAACTGCCAGACTGTTTTCCACAGTGGCTGCACCATTTTACATTCCCAGCAATACACAAGGATTCCAATTTCTCCATATCCCCATCAACACTTGTAACTTTCCATTTCTTTTATTATAACTATCCTAATAGGTGTGAGGTGGTATCTCATTGTATATCCTTAATGACTAAGGGTGTTAAGAATCTTTTCATGTGTTTATTGGCCATTTGTATATTTTCTTTGGAGAAATGTGTATTCAAGTTCTTTGCCCATTTTTTAATTGGATTGCTTTTTGATGTTAGAAGTTCTTTATGTATTTTGAATATTAAACCCTATCAAATATATGATTTGCAATGTTTTCTCTCATTCTGTGGGTTATCTTTTTATTTCCTTTCTTTTAAATATTTTTATTGGGTTTATTGGCATGATATTGGTTAATAATATTATATGGGTTTCTTGTGTACAGTTCTACAACACATCATCTGTATACTGTATTGTGTGTTCACCACTTAAACCCAAGTCTCCTTCTGACACCATTTATCCTCCTTTACCCTCTTTTTATTTTATTGATAATGTCTTTTGATGCCCAGTCTCTCTTAATTTTACTTTTTCAACCATAACAAACGGTTACCAAATCTGTGCCATGAAGATCAAATGAAAGTACATTGTAAACCAGAGGCAGGCAATATGACAGGGTAGTTCAGAGTGCTCATGGCGTTCTGGGTGAGGCTACCTGAATTTTAATCTATACTCTACTACTTATCAGCTGAGTGACCTTGGGTAACTTTCTTAATCTATCTAAGTTTCAGTTTTCTCATTCATAAAATGAAGATACTAGTATCTACCTCATGAGAGTTTACAAATGGTAAATAAAATAAGTGCTGGCACACTATAAGTACTCAATAATGTTAACTATAATAATTTTATTTATTTATTACATTTTATTGATTATGCTATTACAGTTGTCCTGATATTTCCCACTTTGCCCCATTGCACCAAGCACCCCCCACTCCCTCAGGCAATGCCTCCACTACTTTTCATGTCCATGGGTCATGTGTATAAGTTCTTTGGCTACTCTATTTCCTACACTGTACTTTACATTCCCATGGCTATTCTGTAACTACCCATTCGTACTTCTTAATACCCTCACTTCTTCAGTCATTCTCCCACACTGCCCTCCCATCTGGCAACCATCAAAATGCTGTCTGTATCCATGATTCTGTCTCTGTTCTTCTTGTTTGCTTAATTTGTTTTTTAGATTCAATTGCTGATAGATTTGTATTTTTTGTCATTTTATTGTTCATAGTTTTGATCTTCTTTTTCTTAAATAAGTCCTTTAATGCTTCATGTAATAGTTTGGTGTTGGTGAATTCCTTTAGCTTTTTCTTGTCTGGGAAGCTCTTTACCTGCACTTCATTTATAAATGATGTCTTTGCTGGGTAGAGCAACCTTGGCTGTAGGTCCCTGCCTTTCATGACTTTGAATATTTCTTGTCAATCCCTTCTAGCCTGCAAAGTTTCTCTTGAGAAATCGGCTGACAGTCTCATGGGAATTTACCTGTAGGTAACTGCTCCTCTCTTGCTGCTTTTAAGATTCTCTCTTTAACTTTTGGCATTTTAATTATGATGCATCTTGGAGTGGGCCTCTTTGCATCCATCTTGTTTGGGACTCCCTGTGCTTCCTGGACTTGCACGTCTATTTCCTTCACCAAATTAGGGAAGTTTTCTTTCATTATTTTTTCAAATAGATTTCCAATTTCTTGCTCTTTCTCTTCTCTTTCTGGCATCCCTATGATGTGAATGTTGGACCTCTTGAAGTTGTCCCAGAGGCTGCTTATACTATCATCATTTTGTTGGATTCTTTTTTCTTCTTGTTGTTCTGATTGGTTGTTTTTTGCTTCCTTATATTCCAAATCATGGATCTCATTCTTGGCTTCATCCACTCTACTGTTGTTTCCCTGTAAATTGTTCTTTATTTCAATTAGTGTATCCTTCGTTTCTGTCTGGACCGCTTTTATGCTGTTTAGGTCCTCGGTAATTTCTTTGAACATCCTTATAACCAGTGTTTGAACTCTGCTTTTGATAGATTGTTTGTCTCCATTTCATTTAGTTCTTTTCCTGGAATTTTGATCTGTTCTTTCATTTGGGCCATGATTCTTGTCTCCTCATTTTGGCAGCCTCCCTGTGTTTGTTTCTGTGTATTAGGTAGAGCTGCTATGACTCTATCTAATAGAGCTGCTACCCTGGTGCTGGAGCCCAGAGGGAGTGAGTCTGAGTAGGTTAGTCCATGTGTGGGTTCTTTAAGAGGAATTTCTTGGGGTTCCAGCGGTTTCTTCCACCAACTGAATCCCTTCTGGTCATGTCTTGGCAACATGGCCTAATGTAGTAGGTTTCTTGCAGGGTCCAGTGGCACAGCCTCCCCTATCACTCAAGCTGGGTTCTTGAGGCGGGTCCTTCATGTGCGCTGAGTTCACCCTCCTCTTGTAGTTGAGCCTTGACTAAGCTGTTGGCAGGTAAATAGGAGGGATTTACCCAGGCCAGTCAACTGCAAGGACTGGCTGTGACTAACTTCCGCCCTCTGTGGAGGGTCAGCTGCGCAGGGACTGGGTGGTGGTGCTCTAACGTGGTCTGTAGCTGTCCACTGGGTGTGCTGGCCCTGTGGTTTCCCAGATGGTGCAGGCCAAGGTCAGCCCCTACCTGTGTTTTGCCGGGGGCCACTCTGCCTGAGCTATAAAGCAATCTGAGATGGCTGCTATTTCTGCCTGGCTTGGATATTCCCAGGAGAAGCCAAGCTGTGAATCTAGGCTGGCTGTTGCTAGTGCCAGGCCTGGGGCTCACTGAGGTCTGCTGTTACTTGTTTCAGGAGATTTAGGAAGTTGTAAAGCATGATCCAAGACCAGCCATTCACATGGTAAAGGAACTTGGGTGGGCCCATAAATTGGGTAGGGTAGAGCCTCTTGGGATCTCCAAGGTGGGTCAAACAGTGTTAGCCAGGTTGATAGAGTCTCAGATATGGCACCAGCTTGCCTGGGTGGAGGGTTTAGAAAAGGGACAATGGCCTCTGCTCACCTTGATGCGAGACACTTCAGTTTCTCTGTGTGTACCACTGTTGCCTTTCAAGCTGCTACCCTGGTGCTGGAGCTCAGAAGGAGTAAGTCTGAGTAGGTGAGTCCATTTGTGGGTTCTTTAAGAGGGACTGTTTGGGGCTCCAGCAGTTTCTTCCACCAACTCAATCCCTTCTGGTTTTTGCAGCCAGAAATTGTGGGGCTTAACTTATCTTCCTAGCACTGGAACCCTGGGCAGGGATGGCCTAGTGTTGGGCTGAGACTCCTTGTTCCTGAGATACCCCTGCTGAATTTTTATCCACCACATGTGGTTAAGGGACCAGCCTGTTCCGCATCTGCACCCTTCTACCAGTGTGGATGGTTGTGATTTCTTTAATTCTGTAATTGTTAAGCTTCCACTCAACTTGATTTCTGAGGGTTCTGAGTGATGGCTGTTCTATATTTTAGTTGTAATTTTGATGTGGTTGTGCGAAGAGGCAAGCCATGTCTGCCTACACTGCCTTCTGCATGTGACAGCAATTGTGTTTCTGGCATTGCAATCCTTCCACCTGTTCATGTGGTCCTTGCCTTGCACTGGCTGGCCAGCCAAGCAGCGCAGTGGCTAGCGCGGCTAGCAGCAGTGGTGCCTTCTCTCCCTCTGAGGGCTCTGAGTAACCGCAAAGGGCCGGGCAGCCCTGGCCTGTGTCTTCTATAAAGCTGTGGCAGCTGCAGTACTACTTGCAGGGGGCAGGAGGTGGCGCGCCCTGTTAACTACAATTATTAATAATCATGATGATAATAATGATTAATCATATAGTTTAATGCCAGAGCCACTGACATGAAGGCAGAAGATCTCACTGTAACTAATACATTACTGTTCCTCACAAGAGTTTTAAGTACCACCCTGGCTGGGTAGCTCAGTTGGTTAGAGTGTTGTCCTGATACGCCAAGGTTGTGGGTTTGATCTCTGGTCAGGCACATACAAAAATCAACCAATGAATGCACGAGTGAGTGGAACAACACAGTGATGTTTCTCTTGCTCTCTCTCTAAAATCAATAAATAAATGTTTTTTAAAAAGAGTTGTTAAGTACCAGGTTGACTCACATATTTGCTCACAGCCATTCCTTATCTAAGAGATATCCCTCAATTCAGACCAAGACACATGTGTTCATGCATACACACACATACACAAACACAGAACTATGAATGTGGGCCAACAGATCTACCAGGGGCCTAAATCCCTCCTAACAAACACAGAATTTCTCAAATTCATACATGCTTATGGAAATGAAAACACTTCTAATTACTAGTAGATTGAGTTAATGGCAAGTTTAAAAAAGATGGCATTTGTTCAACCCCAAGTATAAATGTTTTCTTTTTAACAGGCAATAAAAACAGAAACAGAAATCTTTTTCAATGTTCACTTCTAGTGGCATATAAACCATGGCATAACCATCATTTATAGGCAGAGATTTGCTTCATATAAGATTGAGTTATTTAGAACTCCCATCAACTGCTCTAAAGGTAGGTGCATAGACTAGAAAAACATTCATTTTGTGTGGGTCTCATATATTTTACAAATTCTCAGGCTTAAGCCAATCATACTGCTGAAAACAGTGGAGAAGGAAAAAGGATTAACTCTACCTGGAATATAGAAACACTACACATTAGGTATAACATTCTCACATGTCCATAATTAGCAGTTCAGGTTGGTACCAGAGGCTGAGAGGACTGCTAGCAACCTATATGGAAACAAGGTAGCTTCCCTGCATCAATGTCAAAACTGTAAAATCCTAAGTTGGACCCTAAGTACCTTTTCTGAAGATTCACACAATATATTTTCTGGCTTCAGATCGCGGTGAGCAATGCCTGAAATGACAAAAAGCAACGAAATGGTTAACATACGCACATAATTGTCAAACATTCCACACACAATTAATTTTTTCCAAATGCTGTTGTTCGCAGATTAATTCCCAATTATGGTACATTAAAAAGTCAACGAGCTGCAGGAGGCAGATGTAAGCAGAGACAAAGCAAAAGCACAATTGAATCTGTAAGTTCTTTTGAAGCAGAAGCTTTAGAAATCTGGCAGGGATAAGAAGGGCTAAATGAATCCTGGCCAGACTACCGATCAGCACTGCAGGGACAACCAAGAATAAGAAGCCTAACAGGAAGCAGAGCAAAGAGCTCTGCAAACGGCCCTGTTGGAAGAGCAATGCAGAAATAATGAGTGCCTTGTTTAAGAGCATCTCAGGGGGCTAAGACTGCTCTACCCCGTTTCTTCTTGTGTGGCCGATTAAAAAAACCCCCCCAAAAACCCTGCTCTGGTTGGTGTGGCTCAGTGGATTGAGTGATGGCCTGCGAACCAAAAGGTCGCAGGTTCGATTCCCAGTCAGGACACATGCCTGGGTTGCAGGCCAGGTCCCCAGTTAGGGGGCGTGCAAGAGGCAACCACACATTGATGTTTCTTTCCCTCCCTTCCCTCTCTCTAAAAACAAATAAATAAAATCTTAAAAAAAAAAATCCTTCATTGGGACTTCCTTAATGTTTAGAGGACCAAGTGTTAGTTAACAAATCTCCCACAGCTTGTCCAACTCCCTTCTCTCCTGCTCAGCATATCCAAGGCAGTCCTTCCAGAGGCATGGCAAAGGCTGCTTTGACCCACGGGATGCTGTTCTTAAGATGAGGCCCCTTCCCCCCTGCATTTTGACCAGCATTCTGAAGGACACTGCATATAGCAGCTGATCCCATGAGGGGTTAAAAGCTGCTGACCTGGACATGAAGGCACCTTCGGGAAAACCACCCTCTAACCAAAGAGGGGGGGCAAAGAACCAACTCACAGCGCCATGGAGTAGTGGTGGACCCAGAAACCTCCCATTCCTCTTTCCTCCTGCAGAACCGTATGGTGCAGAGACATAAGGGCTGCAAGGCTGACCAAAAGCTGAACAGCTACTGCTTGGAAGTACTGGAAAGCAGCAGAGGATTCTTGGGTAACAGGGAAAAGCAGAGTCTGCTTTACTGAAACTCCCTGGGTGATCAATTTCTCAGGCAGCCCTCTGACTCCCTAGTAGGTGACAGAGGCCCAGCCCACTGGAGGCCCTTCACTAGAGGAAAAACCTGAGCTCCAGCAGGCTCAGTGACTTCATCAGTCACCTAATTGAATGAGAACCCAGAGCAACTCAGTCCAGGCTGCACAAATTGAGTCGGGCTACAGCTTGCCGCACTAAAAGTGAAAGATATTTTCCATTACAGCAAGTGCTCCCACAGAAGGATCATGAGCCACACATGGAGCCTTGCTCTCCAAATAGGTGCTGATGGCCCAGTCGTCCCCCAGCCCGAGAACTGAGAGCCATGTGTAATAATAGGCCTGCCTCTGTGAGCACACCAGCCATCGAGCTGCTCTGTTTCATTTCCCAAAGGTTAAGCTGCAGTGTGTCCAATATTTAAAAGTATGGAACTTGTTTCCGGGCTGACCCATTCTTGCCCAATTCATCTTCCCAGTGTGAAGTTATTTAGAAAACAGCCAAGTTCAGCTGGAAATCGTTTTTCATCCCCTCCAACTTCTAGGCACATGGGCAGCTGGCCAGCTAGATGTTAACAAGCACTTCAGAACTCCTCAGACACTACCAGCCTCTGTTCCCTTTAGTGCATTCTTGTAAAAAATAAATAAATAAATAAAAAATAAAACCGCCTTTACCCCCCTCTAAGGTATGGATCTTGTAAAAAGCGTGACCCAGTTTTGCAATCTATGGAGGCAGCTTGGGGAGCAGTTGTAAATCTTTGTCAGGCAGGTGTTACCTACATGCATCCCAGCTTTCAGAAACAGAACCACTGCTATTCATCATGCTGTGGAAAGCACAGACACCCTCTTCTAGGAATTTTCATCCCATGTACAAGTCAGGCCCCCAACTTGGGCACTGTCAGTCTGCAGTCTCTCTCCAGACACTGGAGGAAACGAGGTGGAATCAATGAACCTGAACCTCCCGCACCCAGGCCACACCAGTCTGCACGGTGTTGCTGGCACAGGTGGGCTGCGTGGACAGGATGCCTACAAGTGGTCCTGAGCACTCACAGCCAAGCTGGCTGGCCTGTATCCACAAAAGTGAAGGGAGCAGAGATAAGTCAAATGATTTGCTCTGCCCCCCGCCCCCCACCAGGCAGAATGCTTTAAGGGAATTAATATTAGAAAGAAAAATGCTTTCTGTCTGGTGGGGGGTAAGGCTGGAGGAAATAACATTATTGAAGAACTAGGTACTATGTGCCAGGCACTATGCTCCAACTATGTTATACATATACAATACACAGATAGGACACACACAATTATGTAAGCCAGCAAGTACAGATGAAAGCCTTAGAATAGTGCCTAGCATACAACAAGTGTTAAGTGTTAAGTGTTGGTAATATAACTCTTTCTTTATTCTTACCATCACTCTGTGGGGTAAGCATTATTACTGAGGGGGCACATAGCTTTTAAGAAGGTAAAGCCAGAATTCTTTTTTCCATGGCACCGTAGTTCAGTAAAGTTAAAAGAATGTATGCAATAATTAAACATATTTATGGAATGCAAAAATACCCAATTTGCAAAAATATTTAATTTCCTACAAAAATTTTTTTAAAGGATTTATTTATTTGTTTTTAGAGAGAGGAGAAGGGAGAGAGAAAGAGAGGCAGAAAAACATTGATTGGCCACCTCTTGCACACCACCAACCAGGGACCCAGCCCAGCATGTGCCCTGACTGGGAATTGAATCAGTGGCCTTTTGCTTTGCAGAATGATGCCCAACTGAGCCACACCGGTCAGGACTATAGATGATGTATTTTGAAACTAGAAAGACTAACACCCGAATATTTAAACCAGAGTGATTGAATGATGCATGTTTTGCATCTTCATTGGGAAGGACAAGAAAATCATACACATCTACACACCCGCATATACCCTTGCTCAAGATGAAATTTATTTTCTTCCCTGAACTTTCTTCTGTAATTCTTATCAATTCTTTTTTTAAAATAAATTTTTAAAAGATTTTATTTCTTTATTTTTAGAGAGAGGGGAGAGGAAGGAGAGAGGGAGGGACATCAATGTGTGGTTGCCTCTCGCACACCCCCTACTGGGGACCTGGCCCGCAACCTAGGCATATGCCCTAACTGGGAACTGATCCAGTAACCCTTTGATTTGTAGCTTGGCACTCCATCCATAGCCACACCAGCCAGGGCTGTAATTCTTATAGGTTCTTAATAGCTCCACAGCTTTCCACCACCCACATCAGAAGTCTGAGAGTCACCCTGGTTTTCCCCTGCACCCTCTTGGCCATGCCTGACAGCTGTATCAGCTCCTAGCCCAGCCTTCCACCAGGCCGGCCTTTCTCCCTTGGTCCCCATAGGCTGGTCAGCCCTACCCACCAAGGCAAAGGCTTGGCTCACCTTTGGTGTGCAGGAAGTCAAGGGCGGCAGCAACATCTCGTACCACTCGGCTGGCTTCTCGCTCATTGAAGTGCTTCCGCTTCTGAATGTGGGCCAGGATGGAGCCTGGGGGGCAGAGGGGACACAGGGGCCTGCCTCTTCAGGCTCTACTAAATACAACTTCTCACAGGCCAAGTTTCCACAAGTGTGGGGTGGGAACATAGGCTTATTCATTGCTGAATGTCCACCACCAAGTGTGGTTCCTGGCACAGAGGAAGTACCAGCACAAAACTGTACTGAACTGACCTGAACTGCTATCTTCTGTACCTGTCTATGATGAGTACAGAAGGAAGTGAGAACAACTATTTAAATGCCAAAAGATATAAATGCCATTTGTAATAAAAAAGAACTAAAAGTTCTGGATCAGTTGACCTGGGTTCAGGGGCCTCTCTGTAGAAACTTTTCTTCCTTTGCATCTGATCTCAGGTCCAAATAAGTGCACAGCCTACAAACAGAAATGCCACACCCTCACTGGATATGTAAAGGTCTAGAAAAAGAGAAAAAACTGCTTCCTCCCCTGAACTTTCATTATTATTATTATTATTATTTTTTGTTGTTGTTGTTGTTGTTGGCAACTTCTTTGAGAAGTCTCTGGGATTCATGATGGATGATCATCACCCTGGGCCTTAATCCGAAGTCCAAACATATTCTCAACATTAAGTACCTCCTTGCAATTTCTCAAAGACCAAGTAAATTTTCTTGACTAACATTTATTGAGTAGTTATTGTGCCAAGCACTATGTAATACTCTTCAAATAGATTATCTAGTCTAGCCTCACCACAATTTTACAAAATGTACAAATACATTTTATAGATGGGGAACCTGAAGACAAGAATGTTTAAGCAACTTACTCAAGATTATACACCAGTAAGTGGTGGCATCAGGACTTAAGCTCAGTAAAGCTGGCCTCTGAACCTGCACAGACTTCCCCTCAGGAGGACCTGTGGCCTGGATGCTGGGGGGATGGGTTGCCCCGAGCCAACCACACTCTCTTTACCCACCACGTGTGGCCTCAATAGAGCTGCGCTGAGTGATATGGTTTCAGCTGCATCTAACATTTCAAACATGTAATTCACAGTCCCTAGTGTTGTTGGGCGGGGCAGGGCAAGCACAGGCATGAACATATGGCTTGGCTCCATGTGGTCTGTGCTCACTACTGGAAGCCAGTATTTCTGGACTGAAGGTGTCCTAAAAATGGTACTTGTTTACTTTATTATCCTTGGGTTTTGGCATGCACAGGAGATGAAAGATCTTTCACTTGCCAGATTAAACAATCAAGGGATCCCAACATGCTAGGAAACTTTCAGAGAAAACCAGCTCCTAGCTAGGTCCCAGGTTTGCTTTACTTTGTGAGTCTCTTGTTTCCAACTCCATACCCCATTGTTTTAATAATATTAACTGCTAACAATTACTGAACCCTCAGTGCCTACCGGGCACTGTGCTAAGCATTTTACATGAATTATACCATTTAACCTAACAGCATCCCCAGGAGGTGGTTGCTGTCACTATCCCTGCTTTACAGATGAAAGAATATGTTTGGAAAGGTTAAGTGACTTGCCCAAGGTCACACAGCTAGTAAGTGATGGAGCTAGACTTAAACTTGGCTTTGCTGGTTTTTAAAGCACTGTCTCTTAACCACCAACCCTCTCTGTGTAGCCCTCTACTCAGCTCCAGACACCTTCCCTAATGTTCACCTCGTAAATGTGTCCTAGCATTGGGTGAATGAGGAGGACAAGGGCTTCTCTATCTCCTTCTCTTTATCAGAAAAGCAACTTCAATGTACATCCTGGTGATTATGTGTATGGGTGATGGCGGTAATGGTGATGGTCAAGAATGGCATCTTTCTATCTGAAGGACAGCACATTCTCAGGCCTCCTCTCTCTCCTGGGCCTGTGTCCTAAACAGTGGGACCCTCCTCTCCCTTAGTGAGCCTTTCTGGACTTCACAATGTATGTAAGAGCTTCCTCCCACAATTAATTCAGTTAAGTAGAGAACATGTCAAAACATGGATTGATAAATTGGTGACTACGTATGTCTATATATGAGCCCTATTATAATGAGAAGGCATTCACAGAATGCCCACACAGGTGACATTCTAAGCTCTGCAAAATGCTAATTATCATCCTTCCCTCCGGCCTCCCTTCTCCCAAATCAAGGGCAGTTTTAAGTCCTTCATCCTTTTTATTAGCTTGACTCGTTTTAGACGTCTCTGGGATTCATGATGAATGATCACCACCCTGGGTCTTAATCAGAAGTCCAAACACATACTCAACAGTTAAGTACCTCCTTGTAATTTCTCAAAGACCAAGTAAAACCTTGTGTCATCTTCAAAGAACTCAATCAGCTCCAAAATGTTCCTTAAATAGGGAAAAATAGGAGGAAAAGAAAAAAAAAATGAGAAATGGTATTATATATTAAAGCCCATTTACAAATATACAATGAAAAAATATATATAACACCCTGTAACAGGGCAGAAATCAACTTGAAATCAAAATGCTTATTAAAGACGCATGTTTGAGAAGTAGCCAATGGTGTTAGCAAGATTCAGGTCACCTTATCTTTCCATAATGTTTAGTCTCTGGTGTTTTCACCAAGACTGTGCTGTCAAACCCCAACCCTAAAACCCACTAGGTAGAGTTATAAAAAAGTCCCGGTCACATTAAACTGAATAAAATCTGCAGCCGACTGGAAGCAATTGCGGCTAATAACGCTGAATAGTAGGTGTGTGTCCTGGAGGCAAGCAGCAAATAATTACTTGCCCTCCCTCTTGCCCATAAATCACGGGGCAGTATTTACATTGCCTGGAGAAAATGGAAACATCTGTCAAATAGACTTGGGGCCTAACGTGGGCACCGCTAGACCCTAACTGCTAAGCGCTGCTTAATGAAACGGCCGTGTTCCCGGCCACCATAGCACTTGTGGCCTTCCCCGGTGAGCACTCTCTGTCTGCCTGAGCATTACTGTGCTCTGCCAACAAGGTCGTCTTGTAACTCAGTAGGGAAGCCACCAGCCTGGATATTGGAGGTGTTGGGGGCTTTTTTTCTTTTAAAGAACGAAATAAACCAAGTAGAGTCTCTAATGCTGAACTCAGAAGCTGCAGGCTGAAAATAAAAATCTGTCCCTCATAAAAAAATGCTGACCACTTTGGGAGACACCGGGCTTTTACTAGTGTGAAGGCGTCCAAATAAGATGGCCAAAATGGCCTAATTTGAAAGAAGATTGTAGAGGCAGTGCCTGGAGTTAAATCAACAGCAGCCCCCATCCTCCAAGCTTAATGACAAAGCCATCAATACCAGGCCACTGGCTCCCTGCTGACCCTGCCATGGAGGGAAAGAGAGGGGGAAGCAGAGTCTTAGAGGTGACCCTGATTTAAAGCCACAGCGGGAGAGCCACTCATTTGGAGCTGGTGGTGAGCAGACTAAGACGGGGCTAGAGAGCACCTTGGCCCAGTTATCAAGCACAGAGGGTCAGACCAGCTCTCAGAACCCTCAGTAATAGCTGCACATATCAGACTCTCCTAGAAACAGAAAACAGCAGCAAGTATTCCTAATAGTTCTCATCATTCTCATCTATTAATCTGAGAAGGTTCCTAAAGGTTTCCACTAGGCAATACTCAGTCAGCCCAGTTTCAACAGGCACTTGAAAAAAAAAACAAAAAACAAAACCCATTTGTGTCCCAGGCACTCATTCAGATTTCTCACTCTTCTAATTTGCCTGAATTGCTGATATTTATAGTATGTCAGCTGAAACAGGAGGTAGCTTCTTTGCTGCTGTTATTTCTCCTCTTTTTTTTTTTAAACACTGAAAGATGGCAAGAGTTATATGCAGTTGTGGGGGAAGGAGTGAGAGTTGGGGGCAGGAGATGGTAAGAAGCAACCTCCTTTTCTGTAGACAAGTGTCCCCTCAGAGAAGGAGCAAGTAGCCCAACACTATACTCACTTATTTCCTTGACACTGATAGAGCGTCTCCACCTCTCGAAATACCCTACTCCGACTATGCCCTGCTTGTTTTTCGATGATCTGTGGGAAGAAGGACAGCTGTCAAATATACCCACCTGACCTCAAAACACCCCTCCGCAGGAGCCCTGTGACAGGATGGAATACCAAATTGGCCCAAATCAGTTTCAAACACAAGCCTGGAGTAGGCCTTGGTGACACAAGCACTCTGGCTCTGTTAACAAAGCAGCAGACTGGCTTGAGGGTTTTCCAGCCTGGCTGCGCCTGTTTGACTCCGGCCAAGCACCCTGTTTGACTCCGGCCAAGCACAACACTGTGGACGCTGCTGAGGGCAGTTCCAGTTCCCAGATGCCCGGGGGAGACTGAGGCAGCAGCAAAGCTATCTCTACCCAGCTCTTACTTCAAAGGCCCCTCTTTCTGCCTTCCGGGTAAGAATTTACAAGCTCTACTGAAGGATCTCCTAGTGCTGAAGGAAGAGCAAGGGGGATGAAGGGCACTGAGGACAGGAACTAACTCCAAGGCCCAGCTCAGATGCCACCTCTGCAGTTCTTCTGAGAATTTACACTTCGGTAGGCACTGCATTAAGTCATTTAGATACATAATCTCTTAATGCTTACACCACAATCTCCCAAAACAGGAAGCGGTAAAGCATTTTGCCCACAGTTCTGATAGGTGGCAGGGCGGGAATTCAAGCCCAGAGCCGCCTCCGAGGCCCTTGCCAACCTATACCTGTGTGTATTTCATACCGCTTCTCTCAGAGAACCTAGGGCCTATCTCTTCTATGATACTGTGGGCTGCTCCCCATCCCCACCATATTTGGAGGTGCTTGGCACATACTGACTGAAGGAATGGGTGAGCCAACAGATGAGCAGGCGGTTTACACAGGGACTGGCTGACTCAACGTCTCTATGGACCCAGAGCTTCAAACTGTGTGTCAAATAGAGTCTGTGGGCAAGTGTTCTGCAGAGTTGGCTCTGCTTTGCAGCCCCACGGGATGAGTGGGCATCAGACAATGACATCTTGTTCCTTCATTCCAAGAATGCTGGGTACAGTACTATAAACTTCTCCAATATGTTGCAGCACAAATATCCATGACAACTGTAATTTTCTAAATAAGTCCATATCTGTTAATAAACCTCTGGATCCATTTTCTGCACAAAGAGGTGTAGGGCTGGGATACAGAAGCTATGCAACTTGTTCATTCACCAAACATTTCAGATCTAAGTCAGGAAGAACTTTCTAGCAGGCAAGCTGTCAAGCAATGACATAATTTGCTCCAAGGAGGTAATGTGGGAGTGGAACATGGTACAACTATTTGAAGATTTACAGAGGAAATTCAGGACTAGATTATCTTGAACTTTCATTCCCACCCTGAGACTCTAGTATTTATCAGTTGGATGCTGGTAGGGAAAGCCCAAATAAAACCAAGTATTGTGAAGCCACACTGGGAGAAGCAGCCCATCTCTAGGGAGGTTTCAAAGAACAGGGGGAGACATGAGACATGGACATAACCACTGAAACCCAAGAATTGCCAAGCCTGGGTATATCTTTGCCAAAGATGGCAGGGGACACAGAGGAAGGGTCTGGTTTTCCTCTCGTGATCCAACTTTGAAGAAATAGGTCTATCATCCAGAAATGTAGTCAGACTTTTGAAAATTAATTGACATGTGTAGTTTTTATCACATTTAAGGCATGTTTTTAAAAAATCACTTGTAATTTATACTGATCTAGTTCCAAAAAGGAAATGAGATAGTGATTTTGTTACCATATAAAGCAATACTTCAGGCAAAAAAGGAACATGGCTTAGCAGAAGTGTTCTACTTTATATACCCACAGCTGGGACTATGGCTGGTTGGTTAAAAAACAACAACAACACCTCTTTCAGGAGTCACCTTGGCTGGGTTTGTCCATATGAGGCAGCGATTATGCCTGGTGGCTCAGGTGGATGATTTGAAATAAGTTTGAATTGTCCCCTTGGGTTTAATAAGACCCTGTTTCTAGATCAGGGGTTCTCAAACTTCAGTGGCTAATAGAATCACTTGGAAGCTTGGTAAAAATACAAAGGCCCTGCAGGGACCACACTTGGAGAACCGCCGTTCTATATCCACCTCTTCTTCCATGGGAAATCAATAAGCGGAAGCACAGAAGGGTGAAGTAAGCCACTCCAATGTCACACAGCTAGAAGCCACCTCTCCTGCCCCACAGCTGAAGTGCTCTATCCTCATTATCAGGATACTGTACATCACTTTAGAGCATTTTGTGATTTGTAAAATGATTCTACTAATAGCAGTTCATTTTTATTTTCATCTTCATAACCAATCCATGAGACAGGAAGAGCAGGCATTATTATCTTCATTTTAGGGATCTGGGAACTGAGGCTCAAGGAGATTCAGTGACTTTCCCAAAGTCAAATAGTAGTTTTTCAAAATAGAAATTCAGGTAGGTCATCTAATTCCAAATCTGTTTGTCTGGTCCCTGAAGCTAACTTCATTTGTCAGATTAATAAGAAGAAGCTTACCCTGAGCTAGGTATTATTCTAAAGCACTTTACACATATTAACTTATTTAACCCTCACGACAATACTATATAGGTTCTGTTTTTACATCTATTTTACAGATGAGGAAACTGAAGGACAGAGTAGTTAAGTAACTTGCCTAATGTTACATAGCAAGTAGAGAAACCAACATTTGAATCCAGTGAATATGGCTTCCAGAACCCCAATTCTTATTCAGCCACTGTATTGGGGAATATAAAATTATTTGGTTTAGGATGGACTATTCGCAAAGTAAAGCCTGGCATCCAGATGAGACACTCACTTTGACAGCATACTCTTTGCCATTCTGCAGGCTCACAGCACCTTGAACTTTGGCATAGGCTCCTTCTCCAAGCAATTCAGAGGTCAGCTTGTACGTATCTAAAGATGAAATGGATGAGAGGAAGAACAAGATGAGTTACACTTTGCAAGTCAAGATGGAAAGAAGAGCTTCTTTCCCTCAGCTTCCTTGGTCTGACAACACAGGCACATGACGACTCCATAGCACAGCGACAAGGATGACCATTAGGTCCCCTGCCCATCTCAGGTCTCAGTTTCTCAACAACTAGACCACACTGAAGGCATCCTGTTCCCCATTTTAGAAATGAGGTCAGTGAAAGGCATTCAATTTGGCACACCTGCCTCCTGAACACCTACTATGTGTCAGGTAGCATTTTAGACTCATAATAGGGACAAAGCAAGGAATAAAATATAGTCCTTGCCCTTTGAGGATCACAGTCCAGTGGGGAAGACAGACACGTACACAAGTGATCCCAGAATAAACCAGACAGTGGGAAATACTATCATAGAGAGACAAGACACAGTAAAAAAGAGCCAGGGAAGGGCAAGGTTATATGTATCTGCTCAGGGAATCTGGGGAAGCCCTATAGGAGGGGTCCAATTTGAATGGACACCATGCATCCATTTACTCATTTGCTGAGCACCTGCTATGTGCCCAGTGCTTTGTTGGGCACTGGTGATACAAAGGGGAATAAAACGCTGTTTTGTTTTATACCACATACAAATAAACTCATTTGATGTTTTGCAGAAGATTCCAGAAGTCACCCACAGGAAACAGGAGACAGACATAAATGTAAATGGATGCCTTGAGGTTTTTAGGGTGCTGAGTCAGAGCAGTTCTAACAGAGTAATAGGCCTGGGTTGAAAGAACTTTCAGGTGCCTACCCAAGCTCGCAAACAGCACAAGCTCATTGAGCCCCTTCTAAAGGCAGCCACAGCTCCCCCATGGCCTCTGCTACGCTGACCTCCTTCTCCCTTGGCCTCCATTCCTCAGCTTTTTCCTCCTGAGGCAGTCTAGCATTTAAACCCACTCACTGGGCAGAATTTTAACCATGAAATTAGATTTTACCACTCTGAGTCATGAGGAGCCCTATAATTGCACAAGCCACCCTTGAATAACAAGAAATACTCTTATGTTCATTGAAAGAGCAAGACCTGTTGATTTGGAAACTATTTTTTAAAACCTTGAGACTTTTGTCCATTCCTTCTCTCCTTACCCCCTCCACCCCATATACACACATCTACTGTTTGAGTTAAAGACAAACAGAAAAAACCCTGCACTAAGTACATTCTTGGTTTCATCATGGTTTGGTCTTGACAGCTGTTTAAGAATATACACTGCTGTACACCTATGTTCATTGCAGCATTATTTACAATAGCCAAGATATGGAAGCAGCCCAAGTGCCCATCAGTAGGTGAGTGGCTAAAAGAGCTGTGGTACATTTATACAACGGAATACTACTTAGATGTAAAAAGAAGGAAACCTTACCTTTTGCAACAGCATGAATGGACCTAGAGAGTATTATGCTAAGTGAAATAAGCCAGTCAGAGAAAGGCAAATATCATATGATTTCACTAATATGTGGAATCTTATAAACAAAATAAACAAACAAAATAGAAACAGATTCACAGATACAGAAAAGAGAATGATAGCTGTCAAAGGGGAGAGGGTTAGGGGGCTGGGTGAAAAAGGTAAAGAGATTAAGCAAAACAAAACAAAACAAAACAAAGAAACCACAAAAAACCGTCATAGACACAGACAACAGTATGGTGATTATCAGAGGGAATGGGAGGGGGTGGGAGGAGGAAGAAGAGGGTAAAGGGGGAGAATAAATGGTGACAGAAAGAGGTTTCACTTTGGATGGTGAATACACAATATGACACACAGATGATATACTACAGAATTGTACAGTTGAAACCTATACAATTTTATTAACGAATGTCACCCTAATAAATTCAATAAAAAGTTTTAAAAAAGGAAAAAAAGAATACACATTTGTGTTTGTAAGTATTTTAAATAACATGCTATACTCACAATGGACACTTTAGCATTAGCCTTTTACATATGTCAGAATAGGCTGGTGGTTGGAAGTCCAATATTCCTGACACATAGAAAGGGCTTGTTACTAGAACTGCTCTACAAAACAATCAATTAATTAGTGTACCTGAAATATTGGAAAGAGGAACCATGAGGAGAAGCTAATTCAAGTTTCACAAAGAAACAAAACATGTTTGAATCAAAACATGAGTGAATGTGGCATGTCACTCCCAGGAGTAGCTCCTGATCCTTTCAGTCCTTTGCAGAAGTGCCCAATGATCCACTTCATCCCGTCGCACACCAGTGATAACAGGACCTGGTGCCTCACACAGTGTTCAAAATGTTTGAAGACCAACATTGTGCCCCTTGAACACACCGTTCACTCTTAAAATGGTGTCAAACTCATGCAGCACAAGTAGCTGCAATCTTTTGGTCAAGTTCTCTGTGTATAGAAGATTGAAGCTTCATTTGCAGCCATGGTCCTCTCTTCCTCTCGCATGGAAGGTTGTTCTACCTCTCAGCAGCCTTTCCAGGAATAGCTGAGGGAAAGATCACATCTGAAAGGGGCTGAAACACACCAGGCAATCTCACTCCATGGACAACTCTGACAGACTGGTTTTTCTGTCCCTCAACCATCCAGAGGAGGCCTGTGCATCATCAGGGGTTTTTCCCATCTCTGCTCTCTCTGTGTCAGTCCTTTGTGCAGACTCTTGCACCCCTACCTTTCATCCCTATCACACACACAACCATGAGCTGTCTCTAAGAGGACATAGATCTTGTTATCTAGACCCATGGGCTTTCAGGATGCTCCTCCCATGCTTGGTGAACCACAGGCCCTGATCTAAGAGAGTTGTGACACCAACCTTCAAATTTTCCAGGCAAAAAGTCAGCAGCCCGGGCCTTCCGTTTCTTCTTCTTCCGTGTGTCACTTTCTGCAATGGGAAGGGGTTCACTGCTGCCCATCTCTGGGAGAAAAGAGAAGATGGAAGGGAAATATCACTGTACTGATCAAGGTGTAAATTCACCCAGAAGGGAAAAAAAGGATGGGGGGAGGCCCAAGAGTTTTACACTGATGGTTTTTAAATATCTGTGAGGACTATTGATTTGTTTTGACCCAGGAGGCAAAACAAAAGGCAAACCATCACAGGAGATCGTTAACTGTGGAAAGAAACTCAGACAGACAGGCTAGATTAAAAGAGGAGAGCAGGAACCTGCTTTAACCAAGCTCATTAGCACATGGATTTAGATCTACCACCAATCAAACTATAGTCCCCCAAAAGAACAATCAAATCCATAAGTAGAATCCCACCTGTGACACCCTCCAGCTTCAGCATGAGACAGACAGGAAGGAGGGTGAGGCTGGGAGGGGGTCCATGCAAATGAAATTACGATTAGAAATATCCCTGTATGGATATGCACAGGGATTCAAAAGGCCTTCAGTGGAGGCCACCCCTGTGAAGGTACAATAGAGCAGGGGATGGGTTCAAGGGTTAGATTACTTCCTGTCTAAGAGCACAGATGGGTGCCTATGGAGCCAGAGCATACTCTTCCCTCCTCTGTTCCGTATGTGAGAGGATGCAAGTAGGGTTTATTCAGAAGTCTGCAGTTGATAGGTCTACATCAGGCTTCTGGATGAGGTCATTCACTACAAAAGCATTATTTTCTCTCATTGGCAAGCACCTGGTACCCCTTGTTAAAGGGAAGATTTGGGAGGCAGATATTCGAACATTGGACAGGTTGGGCAGGAAAAAGTATGGACAGAAAGAATAAGCAGGAGACTGAGAAGGGGAAAGAGACAAGGAGGAATAATGAGCCAGTACCCAATCACAGTACTGTTTCTAAGACACTGTAGTAGGGCCTTCCCCTGGTAAAGATAAATTACCTATAGAACATGTCATGCCCCTGATCCAGAGTGGAGCCTTAATACTCTTTGCCTGCAGTTAGAAATAATAAGATTTCTCTGAAGTCTCTGGGTCTAAATCCCCACCAGGGTGATTAAACCTTTACATCCTTCTAAAATAGAGGCACTGAAGTGCTGATGGGGCATGCAGTGTGAGAGACTTTTAGACCAACCTTCAATAAACACAGGCTCTGGGTTGTTGAATTTTTTTTTTTTTTTCTGAGAGATTTTAAAATGGAAGCTGGCTCTTTGCCTACTGAGGAAAAGGCCCACTCTCTCCTCAGAGGACCCCAGCTGAACACGATCAGAGAAATGGCAAGTCTGCTCAGGAAGATTGATTAGAGCCGATGCACGTCTTCTGTGCTGTTCTCAGAAGCAAGTATACAACAGCCATTAGGAGAAAGCGCACAGAATGATGGCCCTTTTCGACACCACAATCCAGAAGGCATGGTTAGGCAGCCAAGTGTCTGACGGCTCAATTTAGGTGCACTCTTCCTTCCATTTTTAGGATCTAATGACAGCAGATTTTCAATTATACTTTACAGAACAGATAAACACATGGATAAAAGGAATCCACAGAGAATCTCAAAATATTACTCTAGTCAACAGCTTCAAGCACAAGATATATCTTGTGCAACACACTATGAATTCAAAAAATTAAAATTAAATATCAGCACCCAAATATCCATCCTCTCCAAGGTATATTAAAAGGGAAAAAGCTGCTCAACATAGTGAGAAATTCTACAGCAATAAAACACAGGCTCGCTCATTTTCAGGAGCCCAGGGAGTGGGCACTAACCATTTGAACAGCAGGCTGAGAAGGAGAGATCATTGTCCCTCTGGCTCTGACCCTGTGTGCAGTCCAGTGTCAACCCTTGTCCCCACCTATATCCTCACCAGTGCTGCAAGCCAAGAGCAGAGTGGACAGATTTTGAGTTCACTTCTTTTTCTCCATCCCCTGCCCACACTCTGATGGAAGGTCTAAGGACAAGCAAAACAGCCAACAGGCAGGCAATGTAGCAACAGCAAGAGGGCTGGCGGCTTTATAATTCACAGGGGATGTTCAGACATACTTACAACTCTTGCTAGAAAACCCTGTTAGCCACAATTTATACTTGGTTTTTACCACAGTAGGGCTGAGGGAGCCTCTTGTGGAAGAAGCATACCTTTGAGCACTGCCGCACACTCAATATTAGATTTTATGGCTTCACACACAAAAAGATAGAGTACCTGGTCTATTCTGCATGGATTTCATTGGAAGAGGGTACGCCAGAAGGGACAAATGGTTAAGACTTTCCTTGGCAACAGAACTTGTTGAAGGAGAGTTGTTTTGAAACTAGAAAGAAAAAAATGTAGGAAGACAGGGGAGTGAAAAAACACGCTTAATTCCCTATTTACATTGAAGTGGGGAGAAGGCAGAGGTGTCATAATCTTACCAGTGGGTTGAAAGTTTCCCCTTTGGAGCTTGTCCATACTCTCTATTTTATCACAGACAGTCCACTTGCAGGGACTGTGGGGCCTTAAGTTATCATGCATGCAATTATTTGATAAGAGTCTTTAGAGGGCAAGGTTCTGCAATCAAGCAGGTCTTTGGCTCACCACCTTCCCTTGGCCTAATAAGTCTTCTCAGCCATTGAAACCATCTCAAAAGTTTCCTTCCCTTTGACTGAGTTAAGATTTGTGCAAACACTGGTAGGCACTACACAAATAGATGGTATTACTGCACAGAACTAGAAGTTAGTGCTCCATCCTCTGCTCCCAAACACCCTGCTGGAAACTGAATTACAGCACTTATTTTATGCAGCCTTGAGATCTTCTCAATGTTCCTGAAGACCAGGACTGTCACTTGTTCATCTGTGTATCGCCAGATATACATCAGCCATCAGAAAACATGCAGAAATGAAAATGATATAAAATGATGCACACAGTAGGTGTTAAGTACAGTGCATGTCACCTAGGCCCTTTAAGTACTGAGTACACATACAGAAAGAAATTTGGGTACATCTTTGTCCTGACAACAAAGTAAGGCTATTCTGTTTTATGATTTCCCTGATAAATTTCCTCTCATAAAGAACACTGTGACCCAAAAGGTTTTTAACTTTCTAGGAAGAAGCCTGGTCCATGCTATAGGATTGGGCAATGTGTCCGTTATTTCAGAGGAGGAAGTGGGCACTTCTTTTGTTTTCAGAATGGATCTAGCTGGTGTGGAGGCTGCCAGCATTTCCACTGCCTCCTCCCCTTGTCTTCATTTTGGGTAGGGTTTCGTGGTCCACCATTTGTGTATTGGTGGCGGTGGAACTGATAGGGAAGGCATATGGGTTTAGCATCAGGAGACCAAACTGAGAGTCCTGGTTCAGACATAGCACCAAGACCTGATTATTTTGCCTCTTGGAGGTCTCAGTTTTCTCATCTATAAAGTTGTTTAAAAAAGTACCTGCCTTTTCCAGCAACCCTGTGAGGAGTCAAAGATACACTTATAAATGCACTTCAAAAAAACTTGTGTATGCACACACAACAGATGAGAAAAACTATATAGAAATACACAGCTCTGGTCAGGTACTCAGTTGTTTAGAGCGTTGTCCCAATATGCCAATATTGTGGGTTTGATCCCCTGTCAGGGCACATACAAGAATCAACCAGTGAATGCATAAATAGGTGGGACAACAGATCAATGTTTCTCTCTCTCTCTCTCAAAAGCAATCAACCAATAAAAAATGTTTAGTTAAAAAAATACACAGATATATTAATACTACTCTAATTTGAAAGAGTGCCTATTATGTGCCAGACATTTATAGACATTATCTCTAATTCTTACAATGATCCTAAAAGGTAAATATTTTACCATATTTCAATGGTAATTTTAATTCAGAAGTTAAATTACTACCAAATGCCAAACATCTAATTAGTGGTTTACCTGGGATTCAAACTCAATGGTGCCTTTCCAAGTCTGGGCCATTTCTAAACTATAGTAGTTTTATCTGTATGCTGGGGTGATTTTTATTTTCTTCTTTATATTTTTCAGTGTTCTCCAAATTGTACCATAAAATTTATTACTTTTTATACTATTATTGTCACACTTTATTTTTCAATAAAATACATAATAATTTTTCTCCAGTGCACATTGGAATTTAGAATCTGAATAGACATTTTAAAAAATCGTATCTGGATTGAAATTCAACATTTGGTGAAAAAAATGTTTCAGGGATATTGGTGCCTTGAAGGTATTGTTATATTCCTGAAAAACAACACATTCTATTTTAAGTTTTGTCTTTTTAAATGCTATTTTAAAATAGGAAAAATGTAAAAACAAAAAAATGCATTCAACATTCAAGTCTGAGAGATACCAGTTTAAATCCTGGCTCTCGGCATGAGCTTTGGCAGGTTGCTTAGCTTCTCTAAGTATCAGTGTCTTCTTATACAAAATGAGGTCACAGTAAGGCCTGGGTCCCTTATATCACAAGGTTGTTGAGAGCATCAAAAAAGAATCTAGAAGTGAAAGCACTCCTGACTTATTCATTACACACATGCTATATTTACTGAACACTACTAATTGTCCAGTACTGGACAGTGTGAATATAAGAGAAGATACAGTTTTTGCCCTCATGTAACTTAAATCCACTGACATGTAAAACAGTTTCAATACATTGGGGCAAGTGCTGTGACAGTGTAGTACCAGGTGCTGTGGAGCAGGAGAGAGGCATCTAACCAGTCTGGTAACTACAGGAAGGGACGGCTAAGCTGGCACCTGAAGGATGAGCAAGAACTGTCCAGGGCAGAGGCTGGGGAGAGAGGCAGGTGAAGAGCATGTGCCAAGGCCTCAAGGAGAGGCAGGATGGCCAGTTAGTGCCACTGTAAACCGTTCAGGTTAGCAGGAGCAGAGAGTATGTAGGGGAGTGATGGCAAATCAGCCAAACGGGTAAGCAGAGGCAGAGAATATGCAGTCTCACCATCATAATATTATCACCATCATCAATCATAATAAATGTTTCTAGTCCTAAGCATAAGTTTATCTTGTTTTCTCCATTAAAATAAGAGTAGGAATATATGTTCCCCTTTCTTGTAAAATCTGTTAGTCAATAAGTATCCATGGTATGGTAAGCGTAGCAGCTGTTAAGAACACAGATCCAACAACCAACCTGCCCCTGCATGGGGAGAGGGCCCGGAGAACTCAGAGCAGCGGAGGAGCCTCACCATGCAGGACTGCAAAGGCAACAGGTACTCCTGACATGCAGGTACTGATCTCCCTCTGCGCTAACCCCAAAGCCCCCCTTCTGAAAGAACTGTGGCATTTCTCTGTGAAGTCTTCTGAGCCACGGTGCCCCAAAGCCACCAGCTCTGTTCTCCATATCTTGGCAGAGCCTATAGAGAGCTAACCAGCTCCTACATCAGTGTGTGTGGTATCAGATGACCATTGTCCCACTAAGAACAAGACTTTGTGGGCTAACAGTTCGGCTATCTCAGCTCACATTCCTCTTCCACCCACTCCAGAGTTCTTTTCAAGGTCTGTAATTCACTCCTCTTCCCACTAAGACTTCTGTCCCTCAGTCAGAAGAGGTTTTTGGAGAAGGAATAGGGGTAAGAGCAAGCTGATGAGTATAATTATCCATTCAGCTCTTTTCTCATTCATCACCTGGCTAAAGGCCCCCAAACAAATGGAAACTGAGGCAATGAGAAGAAGGGGGATGGACACTTTTAAGGAACAGGCTAAGACTAAGAAATGTGAGGCAGAGGAGGAGGTCTCAGGAGGAGCCTAGGGAGGCTGAGCCCAGAACATTTACTTCTCCACAGCAGTATAATAGCAGTTAAAGTAAACACTACTACTACTCCAAGTAGTTACAGTATGCACATGCTTATATGGTACTTACCATATTCCAGGCAATGTTCTAAGGACTTTACAAATACCATATTTTACATATACTAATTTACATAATCTTCATGGCTCTTATGAGGTAAGTATCATTATTTTCACATTTTACAGATGAAGAAGCTGAGGTACAAGGAAATTAAGTAATTTGCCCATGGTGACATAGCTAGTGAGTGGCAGAGCTAGGATTTAAATCTAGATAGCCTGGCTCAGGATTCAGACTTAAACTATTACATTATATTTAAACATTAATGCTGAAAGGCAGAAGGGGATAGCCAGTCAGAGTTAGCCAGGCACCAACAAGAATGTTTTTATTTAGAAACCTTAACACACAGATTCCTTACTGAGATGCTGTGAATGAAGAGATATTGGTCCTCTCATCATGCTGAACAATATTACTTTCTATATGTGCTTTGATGTCAATAAGGTTGGTCAGCTCTGCTCTAGCTTCCATAAATGCAAGGGCATTATACCACTTTATTATTATTATATTAATCTGAAACCTAATTTATCAGAAGTTTCTTCTTGCTCTAAGCAAGAAAGAAACTCTAAGCTCTGTATTTTGTTTTGGAATATAATGTAGGAGAGCTACAAAATAGTCCAACCACATCATTTCATGGCAGTTCTTGTATCAAGTATAAGGTTACATTCTTTTTTGCCAGACCTATTAGTTGGCTGATTTGGTTTCTGATGATATCGTTACTACGTAGGGGCCAAGGTCAAGGAAAGGGTATACTCAAACAGAAGCTAGTCAAATTTAACACACAATGAATGGGAGGAGCCACCTGTGAAACCAACTCAGTCAAAGGAGAGTCTGTAAGTGTGATTTCCAAGGCCAAGGTATTTCACAGGTTTTCCCCAAGAGTCCTGTGTGTAGTAAGGCTGGGCAGCATTACGCAGACCCCAGTGTCTCACTCAACCACAGGAAAAGAAATGTGAGGCCCGCTAAGGTGCTGGCAGGGTGGTGATTCACAACAGGCCTCAAACAGAGCTGGGGTAGCAAGATTCTCAGAGGCAAAACTAGATTCAGGCCCATCTTCTTCCCCTGCTCTAATTCTGGGATCACAAGCAGACTTCAGAGGTGGCACTGCATCACTTGGTGGAAGGAATGACGAGAAAGGGAGAGAGGGGCAAAGAAAGTGTGTGTTTAAAAAATAGCAAGGAGGAAAACAGAATTACCATATGATCTAGCAATCCCACTTCTGGGTGTTTATCTGGAGAAAATGAAAACACTAACTTGTAAAGGTATATGCACCCCCATGTTCAATGCAATACTTAGATAATTTACAATAGCCAAGATATAGAAACAACCTAAATGTCCATTGATGAATGAATGAATTAAAAAATGTGATATATATGTATATATGCACATATATGTATATATTTTATATATCTATATATATACACACATATACACACAATGGAATAATACTCAGCTATAAAAAGAATAAAACATTGCCCATTTGTGACAACATGGATGGACCTTGAGGGCATTATGCTTAGTGAAATTAGTCAGAGAAAGGCAAATATGGTAAAATCTCACTTATATGTGGAATCAAAAACAAAAAACAAAAACAAAATCTAAACTAAGCCCACAGGTACAGAGGACAGATTGGTGGTTGCCAGAGATGGGGAGTTGGAGGGGATGAAATGGGCAACGGGAGTCAAAAGGCACAAATTTGCAGTTATAAAACAAGTTAAGTCATGGGATATAATGCATAGCTGGGTGACTGTAGTTAATAATACTGTACTGTGTGTTTGAAACTTGCTGAGAGTAGATATGAAAAGTGCTCATCACAAGAAAAAATAATTCTGTACGTATGGTAACGGATGCCAGCTATACTTATTGTGATCATTTTACAATATATACAAATATTGAATCATTATGCTGTTTACCTGAAATTAGTATATGGTGATTTTACCTCAATTGAAAAAAAATGAAATAAGCAGCAGTAAAGAACAGTATAAACAGCTGAAAAAGGTAGGCTGAAGTCTGATCACCCAAGCTCATGGCCTACAAGGCCCTCCAACATCTGGTCCCTATCTACTTCCCAACCTCACTAACTGTCAGTAATTCTTTCAAGTAAAAATGAAAATACTGGATAGCTCGGCTTGCGGTTGAAACAGCCCACATGTGCTTTTCCTCGCAATCACTCACTTTGGTGGGCAGCAGAAGCGCTTTATGAGCATTCCCATTCTGTCACACAAAACATTAAAAAGATGTATACTCAAGGGTGAGATTCAATAAAATTAATAAGTTTTACTGCTTAATCAAGGACATTTGTAAGTGAAATGGCATTAAAAAAACAACCAACTCTGAGTGTGTAGCTGTGAAGAACACAATGATTGCTAGTACAGTTCAGTGCCACTAACCAACCGATTTATCCTAAGGGACCAGCAGTGTTGCCCACTGTTGCTTTGTAACAACACACAACATCTTGGTACTATTATGAAAACAGTTTTAACTTTGTAGATACTCTGAAAGGATTTCTAGGGCTCCCAAGGCTTGCAGAGCACACTTGTGAACCACTGTTCCCCACAATGGGGAGAGACTGTGTACAAGTGGATTGTGCTTTTGGGCCATCAAACTGGAACAAACTGGAAGCTGGAGAGGGACTGGAGGGTGGAGTGAGGCGGCTGCAACAACCTGGAGGAGGGCGAGGAAGTCGTATAACTAAGGCAGGGATAGAAAAGAAGAGAAAGAAGCAGAACTGGTCTTCCCAAAAGACTGCAGATTGAATCAAAGACTACTTCTCTCCGTGTTGAATCTCTATCCCCACTGCCTAGTAAGGAGCCAGGCCCTGAGAAGGACCCTAATATGTGTTTATTAACAAAAGTAACATAACCCCAAGAGCAGTAGGACCATCAAAGAAGGAGAGAATTGAGGAAGGGAAGCTTGTAGGGAATGGGGAGCCATGCAAGACAGTGAGCCACTGGGAAGCTTCAGATGAAGGGTGACAGAGCAGCAAAGCATGAAAACTCACAGATCAGGCTAAGACCATTCTCATCCAGACCTCACCTGACCTAATCTACAAATGAGGCATTACTTACAACTTGCCGGGCATAACAAAACCTCAGGTTGGAGGTTATACAGAACACTTCAAAATGTCATCATATGTGTCATAGGTAAGTTTAAAAAAAATACCTGAAAAGATACATCTCAAGCCATTTTAACAATGGCTTCTTTGGAAGGATGAAATTGGGTGGGTACAGAATTTTGCTTTTTATGCTTCTGTTGTATTTTATTTTGTTTTGTTATGAGACAGTTGTTTTATAATTAAAAGTAAATAAATATGTTTTACTTACTGCATGGTTTTCCTTATGAGCCTCTCTGCCATTTTATTCTGGTAGAAATATGCTTCTCCCTATTAAGAAACTGTTTTAGGCATGCCAGGCAGCCTAGTTAATTCTGGCTGCCCAAGTGAATACTGAAATCTCTGACTGACTCCTTCCTCTGTAAATAGATAATTTCAACCAGAAGCAATCTAAAAGTCTACGTAAAAATGTATATCCAATCTTACCTATAGGTTTGCCCAACTCTTGGAAAGAAAATCCTCTACAAACTTGAAATTCCAAATAAAATAATGCTTTGGACAGAGGATTGCTGTCTTCCGGCCACAGGAAGTGTGTCAACAGTCTCTGTATGTAACAGACATTCTTCAGTCCTCTTCTGCTTCAGGTCAGCCTCTGCTTCATCGTATCTGGCATGAAAATCTTCAAAAAGCAGAAATAGGAAGGATGTCAAAATGCTGACTTCTTTAAAAGAACCAGAGAAGATAAAGATCAACCTAAGTGTTCCCCAAAGCTACATGCTACACTGGTAAGGAGATACGCACAAGGCAATCACAGATTTCCCCAGTCCTTAAAATCAGACAGTTTATCATTTGAAAATGTTCACATTAAGCATCTGACAATTTAATAAGTGTTTGAGTAAAAGTTTTCAGATTCTGTTTCCACTGTGGAATTCTAGAACCAAAAAGACATAGCTGGACCTGGATGACAGATATGGACACCTTGTTTGCTGAGGAATCTCATGTGGAAGGTAAAAGTGACACTTTTCTGCTGTCCTGGTCTCACAGACCGGAGGCAACAGAGCCACAAAGATAAAATAGATGCTGAGAGCACACTGAGAGCAGCAGGTGGCATGAACAGGAACAAAGTTTTACGCTAAATGTATCATTATTGGTAGTTTTCTATCTGATGCGTTAATTTTCTGTCCATTGCTATTTTTAATTTCATGGCTTTAGTTATCATGTGTCAAAGCGGATTTGTGAATTTCTCTAAATCATGAATGTGTACTTCCCCAATGGAAAAGCTCTGAAAATGTAGTTTAAATCTGAATTCTAGGAACCTTGTGCCAAAATTTCTTAAAAAGTTTTCTAACTGGAAGCCTGATATATTTCACCATTTCCTCAAATCACGTGCCCCAAACTAATCACCAACCCCATCCACTGCATTCTTCCTCCTTTCCCTTCTCCTCTATCAGATTACATCATCCTGCCAGTCGCCCAGCAACAAAATCTTTAAACCATTTTTAATGTCTCTTTCTCTTCCAAACTCACAAGCTCCCAATACTCATAGTCAGGCTTTCCCTCAGCCTGTTATGCAGCTTTTTAAAGAACAGCATCTATTCTTTCTTCAAGGCCCATCACGAATTACTGAAAGTAGTCCCATAACTTACAAAAACAGCCCCTGACTCTTTTTTTTTCTATTTCATCCAGCATTTAATTGAACTTACAGTATACTATTAAAATACCTAGAGCTAGCTATACACATGCATATGTGGTTCTCCCACTAGGCCATAAGATCCTCAAAGGCAGGAACATATCTTTTTCATCTCTATATCTCTGGCATCTACCACAGTATCAGGCACAAAAAATAGGGCTCTAGTAAATATCTGAATGAATTACTTATTCTACAAAATATTTCTTTATTATCCAACAGAGAATGTTAGCACATAGAATAATCCTTCCTATTGCGCTTTTTTTATTCCTAAACAAATCTCTGTGGCCCCACGAAACAATTTCCAGGGCTCAAAGAAGCTCAGGTTGTACTCTTTCTCCTTATGGCCACAACACTTCCAGAGACAACCTTGAACTTCTACTCTTTGCCTTTATTCTTGCCATGGTATTAAACCCCTTGGTCCCTTCTTTCTTGCTGCCTATTGTAGGGGCTCGCAAATTTGTTCTGTAAAGGGCCAGACAGTAACTATTTTAGGCTTTGTGTATCAGATGGCCTCAGATGTCGCAATTATTGAATTTTGCCTTTGTAGAGAGAAAAAGCAGCCATAGACAACATGCAAATGAAAGATTGGGGTTATATTTCAATAAATATTTATGGAAGCTGGAACTTGAGTTTTCATGCCATAAAATGTGAATCTTCTTTTGATTCCCCCCTCCAAATATTTAAAAATGTAAAACACATTCTTATCTTATGGTGTACATCAAAACTGGTAGTGAACCAGAAACAGCCTGTATGCAAGTTGGCCAACCCAGCTTATTTTCCCTCCTTACAACTCCATTTCTCTATGCACACCCACATATACCCTGTTTCCATCTCTAGTAGATCTACAGTAAAAACAACCCTCAGAATTCCCCCATGAACTTTTTATTATTCTGCTGTTTGGAGCCACTCTAGGGCTGGGGAGGTAGAAGGTATATGGGCTTGTGAGCCATTAGGGCCAAGATTCAGGTTTTGGCTTTACCATATACAAATGAATTTGCCTTGGACATAATACTTAACCCCTCTGTGCTTCACTCTCATCATCTATAAAATGAGGGTAATAACATCTACATCACAGAGTTGCTGTGAGAATTAAATGAACTAATATATACTCAGTTCATGGCACAATGCCAAGGCATATAGTAGGTGCTCAATAAATAGCAACCATTATTCAAGCTTGGGATATGGCTTGCCAGATCAGTTGTGGCCTTTGAAAGTACTCTGTAAACCACAACTGAGCAGCATTAGGGAATAACCTGTTAGCAAAGTACAGAAACGAAGAGACAGAACATGTAGGTTTTCAGATAAATGATGAAGGTTCTAAGTGCTTGGTTGGCCCTGATTCCTTCCAGCAACATTCCAAATTCCTCTGAGCCTCTTTTCCTCCTTAGCAAGAATGTCTAACTCCCAGACCGCCTGCATCTTCTTAGCATTCCTTACCAAATACCCAGATAAGCCCTGGAATCCTTTCCTCATTCTTGTACCTCTTCTTCGCAAAGGGCTGGGGAAGGGTAAACAGCCAGGCCAAACCTACACAGACTGGCCTGCCATTAGGTCTTATACAGATTGGGCACCCAACTCTCTCTCAATTCTTCATAAATTTCCTGCTGTGTAGGGCACAAAATTTTTGCCTCAGCTCAAGAACTAGCTTTTCTATAGAAGTTTTAGAGGATAAAAAAAAAAAAAAAAATCCAAGTATATAAAATAAGGGATCCATTATAACACTTTCAAGACAGAAAACAACAGTGCTTGGCAGATAAGACTAAGGATTGTGGTATTTCTGTCCTTGGTCCAAAAAGCCAGATTTGAACCTGTCACTTCTTTGCCTCAACACTTCCAATGGGTGTCCATTGCTTTTGGAACCCCAAGCTCCTGTGCTGTGACTCAGGGCCTCCACAAACTTGTCCAAGACAATCCATCCTGCATTATGTCTTACTATTCTTCTACAGAAGTCTTCACCTACAGTCCAGGCAAAATAGACTGTTGCTATCAAATTACCCTCAACAATTTACACCTTTTCACACTTATGTATAATTCAATCACCTATAACATTTTACTGCACATCTTCCCCTATACCATGAGCTAGGGACAGGGCAGAGACTATGTCTGATTCATTTCTGGGTTCCCTACACCACGCACAGGGCCTGACACATGGCAAACACTCAATAAATGTGAATAAATGAATAGAAACACCTTAAGTTATTTTTCCCTTAAACTGTTTTAGTTGGACTCATTAGCAGACTAAGCACAGTCTGGATTTTTGACAAGAAGTACAATAGTAAAAACCAAAGAGAAAGAAAAGAAGCATGACCAATGAGATCCAAGCAATGGGAAATCGGTTTTAAGAGTAAGGTAAAAGAAACCAAAGCTGTTTAGTCTGGAGAAGAGAAGATGAGGCCTAATTTGATTCTGGCTTTAAGTACACAAAAGGTTCTCATGAGGAAATCTTGACCTCATCCTTCCTCTATAATCAGAAGGAACTTTTCCATATTCATGAAAAATGAAACAAAAAGAAATGGTTTAAGTTAATGCAGAGGAATTTAAGGAGGAGAGGAAGAAAAACCAAATTAGATACTACTTTTCCAGAGATACTGTTATTGTACTTTTTGGCAAGTAAACTCAGGGTCTTTCTTAGTACTTTCGTTGAAGACTGTGCAAAAGGCAATAAATATGCTGCTGTGTTCCTGTTTACTATGGAGATAGGTAGGTAAAACATACGTCAGGTAAGGTTTTCTAATGAGCCAAAGACATTTTACTGATCCTTTTTCTGCAGGCACTTTCTTTCATGTCATGCTTTGCAATCCTGTGATGAAACAATCTAGTATTTCAAAGTTTCCTGATGGGGCAATTGAAAGAAAGAGAAGGCAACAGTGTCAGAGTAAGACAGTAGGGAAAATTCCCTAATAAATATACTTTCTATAAAAATGATATCTAACTGGACATTAAAAATAATTGTTAATATTATTACTGTTAAAGCTAACATTCATTGAACACCTACTATGGGCTAGGCACTGTGCTAAGTCCTTAACATAAATCATCTCAATACTCCTAACAACCCAATGGCATAGGCAATATTTGTATCCTCATTCTACAGATGAAGAAACTGAGACCCAGGAAGGTTAAATAACTTGCCAAGTCACGTAGCTAGCAAGCGATAGACCCAGGACTAAAACCCAGGCAGTCTGACTCTAGAGTCTATACATGTAACTACAGTCTCTCTGTAAGGATGAAAGACTAGAACTTAACCCCTAGTCTATCTAAATCCAGTTACGTATTCTTAGCTACATCTTTATACTGCCCCAAGCCAGGAAGAGCAATGTTACATATGACATTAGCAAGAAAAGAGATCTCAGAAGTGAACCAAAATACCGCCCCCCCGCCCCCACCATGCTGCTGAGAAAGAAGCTGAGGTTGACTCACAGAAGACAAGAAGCAGAACTAGCACCTGAATGCCAGCCTCTTGACTTCAGGTATAGTTTTCTTTCCTCCTTATAAATTCTCGTTGTATTTGAGGGTGAGAAAATTAAGGAAAGATATGTGCCAAATGGATCCCTCCTTAGGTAGGCACTTTTGTAATGGACTGCTAATCTCACATTAGTACCTATGCCTGAACTACAAGGGTGCCAGAATCCTCTATAAACTGATTCCAAGATCCTACTAGCTAAGCATGGCAATACACTGATTTACGGTACTACAGGAGCTGCTATAATGCTCACATATTAAGCCAATCAAGCAGCTCCAGAGCAGGCATTTTCCATAGCAGATCGGTGGTTGACAGTTTAAGCCTGAACTGAACTACTCCAACAGCTTCCTCAACGATGTCCCCATTTGGGGGCAGTAGGGAAACCAAATTAGGTACCACTTTTGCTCCAGTCTAGCCTCCATTCTGCAGCCACAGTAAACAGAGCCCAGTCGTGGCCTACAGAGCCTTGCAGCACAATAGAAGAAAGAACATGGGTCTTTGAATCTAATACAGATTTGGACCAAGCTCTACCACTTACTTGCTACCTGACCTTGGGCAAATCACTTTAATCTTTCTGAGGTACGGTTTCTTCATCTTTAAGTCAGGGATAAATATCCCCATATTACAGGATTGTGAGGATTGACTAAATTATAGTGTGTAAAGCATCTAGCATATTACAAACCACAAAGTACAGCAGATACCTGTTAGTGTTCTTCTCCCCACTCCCTTCTCTACATTTTGGGTACAAACCACAATTTCAGCTTATTTCCACTCCTCACCAACACTCTCTCTCTTTCTCTCTCTCTCTCTCTCTCTCACACACACACACACACACACACACACACACACACACACACACAAGCGTGCGTTCATTTCCACCTCTAGACCACTGCTCACGCTGCTCCTCCTCAAGGGAACTAACTTCCTCCAAGGTCCCGCATAAATTTTCCACCTTTAGGAATCCTTCTCTAGACCCCCTTTGGTCATATTGGGATTGATTTCTCCTCCCAAACTCCTATTTTGTTTACATCCTTTACTACATTTACCATAGTCAGTCTGATTTCAGTTATTTATGTACTTACCTATCTTCCTGACTACACTGGAGGGAGAAGGCTCTAAGAAGACAATTAATTGTAGGAGGACAAGAAAGTGAGATATTCCTGTGTGTTTCTCAAAACACAGAGTCTTGTATACAGAAAGAGCTCAACCAGTATTTGTTTATTGAATTGAATCTTGCTATCCTTGACTGGGAATCTTTACAGAAAGATCCTGGACTGAGTTTACTCTAAAACTCTACATTTACTGCCTGACTTGATAAACATGCAATTTTTAAAGTATATTAATGTTCCTAAACTAAGTTCCACTAATACCCATGTCAGCTTGCTTCATTCCTTTAACTTTCTTCCAACACACTATGGACTCCTTTGAAGAATCCCTCCAGAATGTAGACAGACATTGCCAGAAGGACGTCACTCATTCACAGAAGTAGGGTGATATGGGAACAAGCTCTTTGGAGGACTCTTCCCCTCAACTGATTAGGATGTGACTGCCATTAAAACCGTATTAAAAGCTAGAGTTGTGGAATCCTAAAGTAGATCCGAATGACTTCTACTTGTTTCAGCTTCCAAAGCAATAAAACAGAATTTTGAGATGTTACATATAAAGCACTTAAAACAGTATCTGCCACATAGTAAGTGCTCAGTAAATGTAGGTATATTAACAATGTAGTAGACTGGAAAAAAGAAAAAGCCAGGAGTTTTCACGTCTGGTACTATTTCTGCCATTGACTGATTCCTTGTGCAATCTTGATCAAGTCCTTTCCCCTCTGGACCTTCCCCTATCTGTAAAAGTCAAGTCGAACCAGGTCGTTCCCATCCATGCTGCTTCTACCTTCAACAATGCATTTTTTTCTATGAACAACAAAAAGCCTTCTGTTTCATATGCCGAAGCTATTGGCAAGGAAAAATGTGAATGTGGTTGCTGGTTCCCAGGTGGAAAGGGCCAAGGCCAAGGAAAGAATAAACAAACCTCTTTTGCACTTTCCCCTTTGTGAAATATATCATACTCAATGCAGGTACCTGAACAGAGCAGCACCTCCCTTCCAATAAAACTCACAGCAAAGGTAAGGTGAGAGCCTGCAAACATGAGCAGCAATGAAGAATCCTTTCTTGTGCAGAATACCTGCATTTTCTTGCCTTTGATGCCTGTAATGAGGGCATAATCAGTCTACACTAGGGCTCTCCTTAGGCACAAAGAGAAGGAAAAACACAAAGACCCATTCTAAACCTGAAAGCACATAAAACAGAAAACAAAGCCAGTAAATGAAATTTTCACTGATTCATTCAGTCACAAACACTGCAGAGGCCTACTATGTGTCTGGCAGAGGAGGGATGAAACAGGCACGGACCCTTGCCACCAATGTACTCAGAGTACACATGAGGTGATATACCCCAAGGCAGACAGTGAACAGAGCTATATTCGAGCTGTGGCCTCTGCTACAGAGGATGGAAAGGGAGCAACTAATCCAGCAGGCGGATCAGAGAAGCTTCATTTACAGGTCACATGAGACTTGGGCCTTGAAAGATGAGGAGGAGGGAACTCCCGGAAGAGGGAATACAAGCAAAGGAACATGCAGGGAGTGTCTGAGTAAAAATAAAAAAATAGTTTGTTTAGACTGGGTTACAGGGTACAGGTTTGGGAGGACAGAAAGACAGGAGAGGGAAGGTGCCTGTGAGACTGAGGAGTCCAAACTCTGTGTAGTAGGCAATGAAGCCAACCAAGGTTTCTCAACAGAGATACAAAATGATGAGAACATTGTCTCAGGAAGGTCATATGGGTACCCATAAAGAGGATGCAAAAGGAATCAAGTTATTTGATTATAATGGGACCACATCACAGGAAACCACATGCACTTCGGAAGCACGTGCAAGAATCCAACGGCTCCTGTTCACAGAGCTTCTCTTTGCCATCGTCCAGCTTCGTGAAATCTGACTTTAAGAGCGGCTCACTTGCCAGGCCCTCTACATCAAAATCTTCTAGAGCACTAGAGTAACAGGCCATCCCAAACAGTCCAAAACCCAATTATTCTTCTGGATCACAGTAAAGGAAGCGCTGATGTGGACTAAGTTGGAAAAACGGGGCACCAAAGTCTCCAGCTCCATGTGAAAACCCAACTCTGGCTCTCCCCTCTACATCCCTTGCAGCCCAACTCTCTTTAGAGGGGCTGAAGCTAAGGGTAGTGGGCAGAAAACACCTGGCCAATGGCTGAGGAGCCAGTGAGACCATCTATATCAATTGCTCAGCATGGCCCTTCGCACCCGGGCAATGGTTATTAAGCACTAGTTCCCTTCCCATTCTGTAAGGTCAGTTCCACCTATAAATCCCACGGAGGCTTCAGGACCTAGGTCACCTCAGCTCTTCCCCCAGGGCCTCTCCGAAGTAGCCTAGCCCAAAAAGACCTAGTTCATTGCCATACCACGGGACACATGCAATTCTATTCAACTTTCACAATGACCCTCCTTGGCCCTTTCTGTACAGGAGAAACTAAAGCTCTGAGAGAGGCAATGACTTGCTGGAGGACACTTGCTAGGAAGTGGCAGAGGTGACATCTGAACCCAAGACTGCCTGGCCCTGACCCGATCACTTGGAACACTTCATTCGTGTCAGGGTGCTGGCCCTGCTGCTAACCATTCTGACAGGCAGCCTGGAAACGCTCTCCCTAAGGAGAGACTGCACCTGACATTATTCTATCTCCTCACCGCACAGCCGCCTCCGTCTGTCAGGAACTTTCAAATGAAAACAGTTAACTTTAAAGTAATGTAGTACAAAGACATTAGTTATTCCTCACGTGAAAAACTATTCATGATATTGGACTGCCTGAGTCTTGAACCCAGCCATACCGCCTGGCAGGGATTCAGCCTCAAACTAGTCCTAGACCGAGCTCCGGGCTCGGGCATCTGTCATAACCCAAGCCTCGACCCTAGGCACAGGCCAAGCCCCGACCGGGGACACACGCTGTGCTCGGAGTTCGTCACAGAAGGACCCCTGAGACGACCCGAAAGAAGCGTCCCCTTGGCTGATCGCCGCAGCAGAATCGGGTCGTGACCTCGGACAGTTCTGAAGGCCCTGATTTCTCCGTCCCGGAGCACAGACTCACTCACAGACCACCCCGTCCCCCCAAATTCCATTTCACTTGCAGGGATACCTCGCTGTCTCGTCTTTCCCTCAGCGGACTCGCGCCGGGAGCGGTCGCGCGCTGCCGACGAGCAGCCAGCTCCGCGGGGAACGCGGAAGAGGCGGTACTAGACCCGAGGGGCGGTGGACCCTAGAGAAGCGCGAGGGGGCGGATCTTCACCTGATCTCTGAGGGCTACGCCGAGGGAGAGGGCAGGGCGAGCTCAGCCAACTGCGCAGGCTTGATAGAAAGGGGCGGGGAGATTGCTGGGAAAGGGGTGGGGCTTAGCTCCTTTGACACTTTTCTGAGTGAAGGTCGGGAAGCTAGGGAAGCGCCAGGAGGGAGGAGGCCAGGAAGCAACAGGTGTAATTAACATTTGCCAAGAGCTTCTGCACGCCAGAAAGGCATTTTTAAAATTCTTTTAGCATATGGGGATATATGCTGCCAGTCTTTTCTAAAATGAGAGCTAATTCTGTAAAATTTCTTAAAAGGTTTGGGTGCCTATAATTTCACCATGGGCATTTCTCTTTAGGTAAAGCATTCCCCCAGTAGTTCAAAATGAAAAGACTTCAAAGCTCATTTCTTGGAGAAAAACAACTCCAAACAAATTAGTATTTCAACCAGCCCCCGGTCCTCTCCCAGCATGCAAGTGTGATGAGGTCATGAGAGTGCTGACTTGGGTTTAGTTCAGGTTCTGACTCTATGTTTCTTCCGTTGTGAAATGGAAGTAAATATCCCTTCCCTGCCTGTCTTAGGATTGTTGTGAGAGTCTGGTGAGCAATGCTAAAGAGCCTCTTGGATTTCCTTCCTATCATCCATCTGGAAAACTTTTGTTCCCTTTCCCCTTCTGGACTCAGTCTTCACATCTGTATGATAGGAGGAGATCTGGAATACTTGAGAACATTCAGGGCTTTGCTAGATTTCCCAGTCTAGGTGAGGCCAGAGAGGGTGTTCTTCTCCCAAGCGTTTGTATTCAGTCACTTCCAGAATCCTGCAGTTCAACCTGAAGGACCCCTGACCTCTCCCACCATCACCTTCTGGACCAATTCAAGCCTCATGCCCTCAGAGGCCACACTGGCCCGTTCCCCTCTCTGTTCCCTGAATGTCTCAATATAACAGCTGCTACTGAGCCACCCATGCCTATGTTCCAATCCAGGTTCTCAAAATTGCTGTGTCTCCCATATGGAAATCAAATTTGGTTAACACTAGAGAGGAGGGTTCTGGGGAACTCAAAGGAGGAAGGGCTCGAGGATGGCTCCTCAAAATCAAGGGGGAACTCCAGCCATGCTTGTGGCTCCCTTCATGGCACACTGCATACAACTCCTGGGGAAGTGGATGAAAGCAGGAAACCCCAAAGAAGAGCCTGCAGTGTTTATGGAGGGGTAGCCTTTACTCAATAGGTGGATGCTCTGCGCCAAGGTGGGGAGAATGGCTTGCTTTCTTATTCTCTGCTACGAATAGTTTTATGGATCCAGGAACACAAAGCCTTCCACAGCCTGGCTGCCCAATCAAACTCTCCCTCTACCCCCTATAAACTGCCTCTCCCAGGACCCTCTCCTGCTCAGTTTTGCCCAGTGGAGGGGGTGGGCTCTTTTCTCTCTTCTGTCTCCTCCTTCCTCTCTGCCTCTGTCTAGTCTTCTCTAAATATCCCTCTCTGAATTTCTCAAAGCACTTTTTTTGTGATGGCTTATAAGAACTGTGCAGGCCTTGGCCACACAGTTCTAAGATTAATCGACCTTTGTTGCCATGGTGTGTTTCAAGACACCTATGATCCCAGAGCCTGAGCTTTCTAAGAGTCTGGGGCTGTCCAGTAATTGAGGAGGTAGCAAGAAACCTGTCATAGGAGGTGTGCAAGCAGAGCCATCTTTTAGAATGCTGGACTGGGCCCTCCTCTGGAGAGCCAGAAGGGGCAATAGAGTGAGGGCCTTACCAACCCTAGAGCAGTGAAAGGAGGGATACTGGACACCAGGGAGGGAGCTAGGCAGCTAGCCAAAGACAAACTTGATTCAAGAAGCTATTACAGTACTTGCTATTACTGTTATTACTGTGAACGATTCAGACTGTGAATAATGGAGTTAGAATTAATCATTTTCTCGCTCCTACTCCTGGCCATGAAATAGATGGGAGAAACAGATATGGAGGGGCCTGCCATAGTCAGGGTCTGGGCTGGGCCTAGAACCCAGGCCTCTGACTCTCAGAAGACCTGCTGTACAAAGCCAGACCCTCTCCTTCTCAGGTAGAGGGAAGAACTGTAACTGGGCCTTTGCTGACTCTTAAGAACCAAGTTGTTTTTTCAACTCATTTGGGCAGTTGAGGGTAAGGAGCAGTGGAATGAAAGCAAGACCTGAGCTAAAAGACTCAAGTGTCTTTTAGGAATAAGCTCAAGAGTCAGCCCCGTGTCCTGCTATCCCAAACAACCTTTTCTTGGGAAGAGCTTCCCCTGCTGTGACTAGGGTTAGGATTGTGTTTCTGCTCTGTTCCTTCAACCATTAGCTCCAAAAACCCACCCAGATTATGGGAGGTGAGAACAGCCAGTGCCAGTCAATCTGAGCTGAAATAAGGAAAGACTCTTTCAAGAGACCGAGCTCCCTGAAGGCAAGGGCCAGTCCTCCCCTCTCCTAGGGGCCTAGCCTTGCCAGGAATTCTTGGTCCAGAATTTTCAGAGTCCTGGGAAAACCTTGATGTCTCCACCCTGGAGAGCTGGGCCACACATGACCATATCATCCAGCACTCTCTATGGCGGGGACAAAAAGCCCTCCCTGCCCCATTCTGGCCCAGTTCCTTCCACAGCCTGCCCAGGAGCCATGTGGCACACAGACCACAGCTCCTCACCAGTGCTGCTTTAGTTTGCCTCTTTTATTTTACCAAAAATAACAACAATAAAGTCTTCCCTCTGTTTCACAAAAATAGATTTCCCCCCTCCCTCCCCACCCCTCCACCCACTTCTGCAATCAGCACTGGCCGCAGCCTAGAATCCATTTTCCAATCCATAGTCCTCCCTGGGGGGGATCTTTGACACCCTTACTCCAGAGCCTTTGGCAAAACTGCTGGGCCAGTGTGTTTCTCTTGGGAACTTCTCTGGAGGCAGCAGTCCCAGGTCCAGCTGGCAGGCTCCAGGAAGCCCACCTGCTTCCCCAGAGATCGGGCAGCTGCTGGGCCATGGAGGGCATGGAGGCCTTTGGCGGCTAGGCTCAGCAGATAACCCTAGCAAACCCAAGGGAAAGTGGGGCATGTTGGCATCGGGCCAGAAGTCCTTGCTTAAAGCAGAAACAGTGTGTCCTGGAGAGGGGCTGTCAAACCCTCTTTCCACGTGCTTCTCATCTCCCTTTGTAGCAATCCACAGGCCAGGGGCGGGAGTCAGGAACCTGCTTTCTACTCCAGCTCCACAAAGCCTTGTGGTGAGGCCTAGGGTAGTTTCTCCCTCCTTTCCTCCTGGCTTCAGTTTCCTTTTATGTATGTGGAGGATTCTGTAAGACTAGATGATCCTCAGGTATTTCCTGGCTCTCCATCCTGGCCTCCCAGTAGAGTCTCTGGGAGGAAGGGGCCTTGCCCCTGCCCCAATTTCCCCACCTGTGGGTGTGAGCACAGGGCTGGGCATATGGGTGCCGAGTTATGGAGTAATGAATGAACATCCCAGTTTCTCTGTGAACAGCTATGCTCTGAGAGACAACCAGCTTCAATGTCTCAGGATGGTTGGGAAGAAGGCAAGTACTTGCAGGATAGGGGAGCCTGGAAGAGTCCATTCACTATTCACACGGTCCCTAATGTGCCAGGTTGGGAGACAAGGCTCCAGAGTTTCCCAATTCAATGTCCACTAGATCCTGCAGTTGGATGATTATATTGTGCTGGGCTTCGGATACTGGGCGCCAAGTCTATAAATTCTAGGAACTAGGTTGGAGCATGTGATTCCCAATTTTTAGGGCCAGAGGACCTTTGTGGACGTGAGGGTTCACCCCAAACCTCCAGGAGACTGTCTAGAATCACACCTTTCTGGAGGCAGAGGAATGAGTGAAATGACAGCTGATGAACATCTCTGGCTGAGCAATCAGACCTGTGTCTGTAGTGAGCCAGGGATTTTAGTACCCAGGGCAAGGCTCCCCCTTCCTACCTCCCCACAACTCCCCAGAATTCTGATGGAAGATGGTAGCTTAGAAGGGCCCAATGTGGAGCTGAATCTATCTACAACCACAATTTGCACACTTACACACAGTGTCAGACACAGTGATTGGGGACAGTGCACTGTCGTTATTCCTACAGTGGTCATGGTCTGATGGTCCCAATCCCTCCTCCCTCCCTCCCTTGTTCCTTTGTTCCATCCATCCATCCATCCATCCATCCACTTGCCTGACATTTATGAGGTCCCCCTATGTGCCAGGGAGGGTCTAAGGTGGCTAACTCTCACAGTCAAAATCACACACATACTCACACACACACAGTCATCTGTGCTCATTCACACACACGCAACTCTCTCTCTTGTATCTTTCTTGCCATCACCTCAGCCACAACTACGTTGCCCAGATAAACTTGGGAACCACCAAGGAAGGGTCAAGTATCACAGTGGAAATCTTCTAGCCTACCCAACTCCTAGACTTCATGTCGGAGGTTTAGCTCCTCCTTTCCTTCTGTTTGCCCACCTTTAAATTCTCCCCTTTTCCACTCACAAGCAGTCAGGGGACATGTGGGTGGACTCTGGAGAACCAGAAGTCCGGGGGCTTTGGGTGTGTGTAGGGATCCCATGGCTTTCAGGTTCTTCTGCCACCAGGCTCCTGAGGGTCCCCTCCCCTAGCCACTCCATGTTCAGATGATCATCTGATGAGCAACAATGTCCAGGCCTATGCTCAGTGACAGATCCGCTCTGTCATCTCCTTCTGTAGAGACACAAAGTTGGGTGGGGGGCGGGGCGGGGGAAGTGTCAGTAGAGCTCAACCTGCCAGGCATCCCCTTCCCAAACCATAGGGCTCTTCTGACCCTACCTGCTCCCTTCCTGCCCCCTACCCCAACTCCAGGCTGCAGATCTGGGTTTGTAAACTGACACTTGAATGAATTCTCTATTAAAGTACAAAGTTGTTTTTCAATGAATTGCCTTTCCCTAATTTATCCACTTAGATATTGGATTTCTTAAAGCAGGTAGCCTTTGGATCTGAAAACTCAGAGACCAGCCCTGATGGGGGAAGGTAGATTGTAGGGAATTGGCCTCACCAGTGGCTCCAGCTCCCGCTGGTCCACCAGGCTGAACTCGCGGATGAAGTAGTAGAAGTGCTTGTAGCAGGTGTTGACATGTGCCTCAGCCCCCATATTGAGGATGCTGTCGAAGTGGTGGATGTAGACGTGAACAAAGACGCGGAAGAGGCGGGTCAGGATCTTGGTGCAGACCTGCTGGAAGTTCTTGGGAAAGGGAACTCCTAGGGGGCCAGTGATGGGCAGAAGTGGGGGGGAGGGATCAGGATCCTGGTATGAAACCCTACCCAGCCCTGCCCTCCCACATACAGGCAGCTTTTGCCCAGGATGGCCTCTTCCCCAGCACACTTCCCTGTGGGAGACAGAGAGAGATCGTGATTTGCTTCCCCCCAATACTTCCCTTTTTAATGAAGCACAAATCTGATTTTGCCTTTTTTCTGCTGAAATACAAATCATCTTCCCCATTTTCCCATGACTCTAAGCAGAACTCTGCCACCTGGTTTGGGGGGGCGGTGGTCACTGACCAATCCTTCTTAAAGAATCATGAAAGAAAGAAATGCCCAAATTCTTTCCAGAAATATATGCTTGTAGGTGCCCTCACAAGACAGTCTTGGATATAATTCCAAGAGGAGTTCATTAACATCTGGGATCCGTTTTTAAAAACATGGGCCTCCATGATTCAGTCCTAACTTCTCAGCATGGTGTTTGCTCAAGGGCTTTCAGGATCCTGGTCTCCCTCTCCATCTTCACCCCAACTCCTTCCTCTGGGCAACCCTCCCAACGCAGTCCCCAGACCCCTAATCCTGAGAAATATTAAGTCTTTAAGAACTAGTTCAGAGATCTCTTATTCCTTCAAATATTCAATAACACTTATACTTCCATCTGTGAGCCAGGCCCTGTGCTGGGCCCTCTGCACTTTTGTGTGGTACAATAGCCATTCTAGACATGATAAAACAGAGGTGCATAAAGGTGGAGCCACTTGCGCCAAACCACTTTACTATTAATTAGTACACACTGGAGGCAGGATTCAAACCCTCTCTGCACTACTCTGCAGCACCCCTCTGAGATGAATGCCACACACCCTGCTTGAGAAAAGCTACAGGGCCTGTAAAAAGACAGTTTCACACAGCTGCCCACATGCTCAGGGTGGAGATCTTCGTGGCCATGTCCTCTTCTCTGCCATCCCAGGGTTAAGGTACAGACATCTGGGGTTCTCACAGGCTTGGGGGCTAAGGCTGGAAGGGAATAAGAGCCCAGACACAGGCCCACAATGGCCCACCCCACTCCGTGGATCTCTTTCCCTCCCTCACTGCTCTCAGGAAGGGTTGAGCCCTGCCTCCCCATGAGCCCTTCCAGGCCCAGCCCAGGTCCCTCAGACTTGCCCTGCTCATCTAGACTTGGGGCTCAGGCCCCAAGAGACCAGAGCTCCAATTCTGAATCCCCCCTGCTTCAGCATACTGTCCTGTTCTTGGCCTTACTTCTTCCCGTGTGAAAAGAAGACACACATTGTTGGGCATGGGAGTGCAGGAGATGACAGTCCACTGGCTGGGGAGGGGCCTCAGGCATTGAATTGTGACTCAGTGCTCAGCTTCCCTCAGCATTCAGACTTCTGCCCTCTGGGCTTGACCACTCTGACCCACCCACTTCTGATGCCCAATGCGTTAACAGAGATGAACGTGAGGCCAGGTGGGGGAGCAGTGTCATGCCAACACCCCTTCTGGATGCCCCTGGGTGGGGAAGTAGGGCCGGGAGACATCACTCATCTCCTCTACCCACCCTCACCCACCCAGGCTGCCCAGCTGAGATAAGAAAAAGCTCCATGGCTTGGGCCTGACAAGGGAAAATTCTGCCCTCAGAGGCCCCTGAGGTGGAGATACCATCAGGCACGCCCAATCCCCATCCTCTTCCCTTTCCGGGGACAGGAACTCCCAGGAGGCTGCAAGTCAGATCAGCCCCAGCAGGATAACCTGCTGGGAACACCTTGAGGCACCTCTTCTGGAAGGTTCTGAGAATCACAGTGGTCTTCCCTGGAGGGGCACTCAAGCGAGAAGACTCCCAAACTTAAGTCAGGGAGTCTAAGCTCACGATGTCTGATCTTGAGCAGACATGGAGCCTCTGAGCCTGTTTCCTCCTCCATAAAATGGGGATGAAAATTACACTATTCCCCCCACCTCAACTGCTGTATCAAACTAAATGGTTTATCTGTGAAATGGGCTCCAGTGACTCCCTCCCTGATCAGTCCTGACCTGCCTGCCAAGTGGCACTCACCAACACGAGTGGGAAAGACATCCTCATCGTTGATGAGGCCCTCGATCCAGTCCATGAGCAAGGCCATGTAACGTGGTGCCGAGAGCTTGGCCGGCCGCCGGTACTGGCGCTCGTCCTGCCAGCGGTACTCGTAACGGGGCCCACCGGCCATCACTGGGCAGCTGGTCTCGCTGCAGCGCTCAGCCATGGTGCCGTAGATGAGGTTGATACGGTTGAAGAAGTCCACCACGTGCACGGCAATCCAGTCGTCGATATTCTCGCCCGGCGGCAGCCTCACCACACTGCGCAGGTCCAGGCCGGACTTGAGCGATGCCTGTGCCTTTTTATACAGCTCAAAGCGCTGCGTGCCCGGCTCAAAGCGCTTCCGCGGCCGGAACGTCTTGTCCTTGGCGAACACCTGCTTCAGGCACAGCGCCATGGCCAGGCTGGGCAAAGGCACAGGTGTCCAAGGGAAGGACCTGAGGATGTCCTGCAGGGCCAAGGGGATGGGAGAGCACGGAGGTCAGGTTCTTACCAAATGTGCTTTGACTTCCCAACACATCACTTCCCTCTCACCTCAGCTTTCGGCCCACCTCTGCAGCTTCTGACTGGATTCTAACTCCTTTCATCCCCTACGTCCAGCACCCCTGCCCTATTTCCAGGCTGCCCTATCTCCCCCTGCCGAGAACCACAGCCCTGCCACCTTACTGTTTCCTCTCCACATTCACTGCATCTCAGATAGGACTAAGCCTCGGCTCCAAAGAGGTGCTCCTCAGATTTGCAGAAGAGGTGGCAGAGGCTTCCTCCAGGCTCACTAGGAGGCAGGGGACTGGACAAGATGACTTCCGGAGGCCCCACTGGCCAGCTGGTGCAGCGTGGGAGAGCCTGGCTGCATTGTGCTGGGGCTGGGGGCGGGCCTGCCTTATACTTCCTCTGGGATATCTCGTCCATCCGGCCACCGGGAATTCCCAGGGAGCAGGAGGGACTTTTCTACCAAAAATGTCCTTTCCTTTTATTACCCTGAAAGAGGAAAGAGCCCTCATATGGCCATCTGGGTGGCCTGTGAATGTGGCTGCAGGCACTGGAGGAGAAAGGGAGGTGGCAGGTCTAGAAGGACACCACTTCCTCCAACAGTGGCTGGAGGTCCTTCCCACATGGAGACACCCTAACAAGCTGTGGGCCCCTCCCTCTGCACCTGACACCCAGTAGACATTCCTAGAGCACCTACTATGTGCCTGGAACCAGGAGGCAGGGATGCAGTCAGGTCCACGCAGCTGGGGCCATCTAGAATTCTGATGAATTTGCTTTGCCTTTTAGAACTGTAGGATCCAAGACTCAGAACAGACTTTGGGGACAGATATCAAAGCCCCAAGCTTGGAGGCAGAATCCCTGGGCGCTAGGCCCAGCACCACAATGGATGTAGCAGGCATGGACTTGGCCCCTGCAACTTCCTGGGTCACTCTGACACAGGCTAGGTTTCTAGGGCTCTCAGGATAGAGTCTTATCTCCCGTGAGAATGTGTGAGGTCTTGGGAAATGCAGACCCAGGTACCGACCAAGGCTGGAATTTAGCCATAGACTGAGCGCTGACCCTGACCACAGACTGAGCAGAGTATATGACAAGCACTAAGCTCTGGTTTGAGGCTGAACTGTGACCTGGCCTTGACTCTGGTTAATGAGAGTGCTGATGCTAACCCTATGCTGAGGCTTGAATATAGTCACAAACAAAGCCTGGCCTTGACCTCAGAGCTGAGGTTGGAGCATTTTCCTTTCTCATGTCTCTAGTAATACTGGGACAGGGCTGGGGAAGGAGGATGGTCTCAAGGTGACAACTGGTTGTAACCAAAGGCACAGTACATATGGGTTGGGGGAGATGTCACATTAGGCAATAAGTCAAAGTAGTGGAAACGTTCAGAACAGGGGTTCTTCGTTGTACCCACAACAGGCAGGCCAGGAGGGGGACAGTCAAGTAAAAAGAGATGAACTTGGAGAGTAGGGGTGGGTCTCCCAGCAGGACCTTGTCTTCTTGAAAAAAATGCTCAAAGATGTGGCAGGTCATCTCATCCATCCCCTGCCCCTCACCTTACGCAAAGAAGTCCCCAGTTTAGGACCTGAGCTTCCTGACCCAATAAGAAGTGACTTCAGTACTTCACTTGCCACCTGCATTAGAAACTCTACTTGGGGCAGGTGCCTCCAAAATCTCTCCCATTGCAATTAGGTGAGGTTCCTAGGCTCTTCACCTTCGTCCAGCCCTCTTTACTGACAGTTACCAATGGACTCTCACCCTGGTATTCAACACCTTACCCTACCTTTCCTGCCCCACTTCCATGTACCAACCACCCTGGGCTTCTTGATGATCCCTGAACATACCACCCCCCACCCCACTCCTGCCTCTGAGTTTTCTTATACTGGACACTTTGCCTAACTACACATGGTCAGGCTGAATGCTACCTCCTCTCACACCCTCTCTACTTCACCCAGATCTCTCTCTCCTTGAGTGAAGGCTGCTGTTTGGCCATTGCTGTCTCCACACCCTTCCTGTTCCCCCTCCCTCCAGCCTAAGTCAGGGCTGGGCACAGAGTTAATGCTTAGGCTTTAAGGAAAGCTTACAGTCGAAAATCTTAGGATTCAAATAGCCCCAAGAAATCAGCTGGACCAATCAACTTCTTGTACACATAGCAAGTTATAGGCAGAACTGGGAACTAGAATAAGGTGGGGCTCAGACAAAGACAAGAATAAAAGACAATTTTCTTGCACTAGCTGCACTAGCAGGTCACTGATCTGGCGGAGATAAGGGGAAAGGAGAGGAGTGGAGGGAGGGGGGAAGCATCTTCCCACCAATTAGACCAACCTAATTCCTGTTCCAACAGGCTGAGCCTCCCCCACTGCTCCCACAGCTACTTGGGTGTCCTGACCAGTGAGCTAGAGTCTCACCTTCTTGCTGTAGAATTTCAAGGCCTGGGTCTTTTCTCAGGAAAGTTTAAGCTTGCGGGTGGTGGATGGATAGGTACCCTTCTATTCATGCCATTTGTTTCTCTTCACTTCCCACTCCCATGCCCTTCCTGAGTTTCTGCCCCTCGCAGAACCTTTGCTCCCTCCCTGAACCAAGGCCATTGCCCCTCTTAGCCCCTGTTTCCTAACTCTGGGTGTCCTTTTACTCCTAAAATGGTCAGTGATGGCTCACACCCTGAGGGGACAGCTGGGCTTCCCAAATTAAGTCCATAGAATGGCCCTTCTTGTTTCTGACACTTAGCCCCCTGCCAGGGCCACACCTGCAATTCCCCAGGCTGGCTCCAGTCTGAACTTAGAATCCAGCCTAGAGTTGTGTGAGGTGTGTGTGCGGGGCGGGGTTGAGGGGGGTGGCCTTGAAGGGCAGAGATCCCTGAGTAAAGCAGAGGTGGGGATTCCGTGCTCTGCACTGAGTCTACGCCGTGTCCACAGCGCTCGGACCCAATCCCACCCTTTGGCCGTTGTCTTCTACAACCCCTCTCCAGCCCAGCTGCCAGGACAAACCGGTCTTAGGACCCAGAGGTGAAAACCTGACATTTCCGCTCCCGAAGACACGCCCCCCTCAAACACCGGCACCCCCCAACCTCGACTTTCCTTACTCTGGGCCTCGGACCCCGGACCTGCTTTCGGGCAGAGGTCGCCTCAGGGCGCCACGCCGGGACAGCCGAAGAAATGAAAGTGGAAGCAAGACTGGGTCGTGTTCGCGCGGGTGGGGGTGGGGGTGGGGGGCGCTCCGGGCGCGGCGCTCACTTACGGGGTCCGCCTCGGTGGGTTAGTGCGAGTCGTCCCTCGCCAACGTGCTGGGTCGCCTTCTTTTGCTGGTCCTCCCGCTCTGCCGGTTCTCTCGCCAGTCCGCCGGCCTGCCCAGCCGGGCCGCGGTCGCCCTATCGCCCCCAAGGCGACGCCAGCTCCGCCCCGGCCCTCCTGGCCCCGCCACGCTGCGGCCAAGGGGCGGGGGAAGGGGCGGGGAGTGGGGGACCCCCCACCCCCTTGCACAGACACACTCAGTGTCGCCTTTCCGGAAGGTCCAGAGCTTGCTCCTGACTTCCCGTTGGGCAAAAGGCTTGCTGGCCCTTTCAGTGTCTGCTTGGACTTTTACCAAAGAGGCAACCTCAGCTTTCTCAGCTGTAAAATGGGGACAAGTTCAGCTTCTGTCTGGAGCAGAAACAAAAGTGCTACTAGATAGATAATAGTGGTTTTCGTGCTCTCCCAGAATCATGTGTGTTTTCACTTGTGCCTGAGCTCAGTAAGGGACCAGTTCTGCCCCATACACTTCCATAACCTCAGTTCTTGGCATAGTGCCTGGCACAAAGCAGATACTTAATACCCACTTGCTGAATAATGAATGAATGCCATGGGACTCATGAGTGAGTCCCTCACCCTAGCCCTGAAAGGACTGGCCCTGAAGAATGCTCAGATCACAGACTTTCACCTCCCCCAGAAGGGCTGGGGTCCTTCTCAGATTGGTCAGATTCTCCTCACTCCTTGCCTGAAGTCACCCCATTTCCTACTGCCAGACATTTGTTCCAGCTGTTCCCATTTGGAATGTCTTCTTTCCCTCCCTTCCAACTGAATCCAAACCCTTCAAGATCTGATCTGCTCTCCTCACTTTTCTACCTGGGTTTCTCCCCTGGGGGCAGACGTATCCCATACCAGCACCCGATCACACTGTGGGTCCCAGGCCCAGGGACCAGGTGGCTGTCATGGGATGAGAGGGAGGGTTGGAGGCCTCGAGTGGGAGGGCCAAGGCTGACAGATGGGCTGCAGAAGTCACCCTGGTGGGGTGCAGGAGATGAGGAGGCAGGAGTAGTGGAGAGCTGGCAGCTGGAGGAAGGCATTTACTGCGGCACAGATGCTTACTGGGCTCCCTCCCTTTGTGCCTGGATCTTCTGCTTGCTCTGTGGCACAAGAACATGCTGCATCCTGAAGAATCTCAGCTCATAAAACTAAAGATTTTTCCTTTTGTTGAGCACCTATTTTTACCCGGGTCTCAAGTTCATTTGCTGCATCTCCAGCTGGATTTCCTGCTGTGTGGATCCTTAACTCTACCTCAAACCCCTATAAACATGTGCATGCCTTAGTATATGCAGAAGACGTTCAAATCTAGTCCTTTTGTTTGATACTCTAATTAGTCCCCTTTATTAAGCATAACTCTGTACACTGAGAGCAGGGCATCAGGGGATGAAGCTGCCCCAGTCCCTGACCTCAGCTGACAATGGGTCAGCAGGAGAGACAGCACGCTGAGATAACACAAGGTCAGAGCTCAGTCATCCAGAAGTGAGAACATGACAGGGAGCACTTTGTGAGAGTGGGTTAAGTGCAGGAAACACGTAGAACACCCAAACTGGGCACTTTGAGCAGAATTTAAAGACGGCACTCCTTAGAGGTGTAGCCAGGGCACAGGGAAACCACACGGTGTATCACCATAGGGCTAGCAAGAGCAGCCCTTCAGTGCTCACTCTAGGCTGAAGCTGTCACCCCTCGCTGAAGGGGTGCTGGGAGGGAGTGTCAAAGTGGGAGCTGTGAGGAGGAGGCTTCTGACTGGAGCTGTGGCCTAAGCTTGAGGGGCATATCCAGCCCATAGCAATCATACTGCCAAGGGCTGGGTGTCTAAAGGGGCCTTCCCCACCTCCTTTCCTCCGATTTCTGGCCGGCTTTCCCCATTGGCCAACTCCTACTCTTGAAGCCAAGGACAGGGAACCTGTTGATTCAGCCCACAGAAGTCAGCCTCTTGGGGCTGGGGCCTAGAGCTGGGTAGAGGAGGGTAGAGAGTGTATCTGGGGGACAATGCAAGGTACTTGGGATGGGAGCTTAGGGACTTTTACTTACAGAGGAAAAAGAAACTACTTTGTGTTTTTCTTATCATTCAGTGCTAAATGTTTCATAATTTCATTGTCATTTCCTCTTTAACCCATGGATGATTTAGAAGTGTGTTTTTTAGTTTCTTAGCCTATGGGAGGTTTATGTTTTTGAAGCTGACTTCTAATTATATTGCATTGTGGTTGGAGATCATGGTCTGTAAGATTCTTTGGAATGTGATGTGACTCCTTCTGTGGCTTTGTACATGGTTATTTGCTGTACCTCCAGTTGGGTTTATAGGATGGGCAGGAATTTGCCTGGTGAAGAGTGAAAAGTACAGAATCTTACATCGTGGGAAATATAGCTGATCCATTTAGAAAGAACTTCAGAAGTTGCCAGCTCACCCATAGAGCTGTGGTGTTTGCCCTTAATTAGCTGACAGGTTGAAGGGTCAGGAGAAGCCAGAGAGAGCCCAGATCTCTTAAATACCTGTACCTCCTTCCTGTGGCTTTCTGTCTGGGCTAGGGACACTGCTGTCTTACAAGAGGCTGTGCTGGGGCTGAGAAGATCCCGACCTTTGAGGACAAGGTCCTGGCTTTACCATGTATTAGTTGTGTGACCTCGGGTTCCTCCTGTCCTCCCTGATAGCACGCTGTAGCCATGTAACACTGCAGCCTATACAGGATGGGCACTGCTCCTTGCCACTGTGTCCTGAGTATGCTAAGTGGTTCAAATGAGGCCCTGTGTCTGAAGCTTGGTGGGAGCCATGGAGAACCTAGTTCTTGCACAGTCCAGGAACATGACTGCTCGACAGGAGTGCCAAGTGGCAAGGGGCGGTGTCCAGACCTGGGCTCCTGCCCTGCTGTGTGTTTCTAGGAAAGCCTCTGCCCCTCTTTGGGCCTCAACTTTCCTCATCTGCACCACAAAAGCATGTTGCGGCCATACTGTACTGAATGCTTTATCAGGACCAGCTTCCTGCGCTTGCTTCTGTGGGCCTGTACTCAATGACTCCACTGATACAGTGTAGTCTCTCCCTGGGGACTTCCCAGCCCCTTGTAGGCCAGAAAAATTTCCCCATCCCCACACTCCTCTCAGAATGAGCTACAGCACCCCCTCCACCCCCTGCCTCTCAGATCACCCCACCAGGCTTCTGGAAACTCCTGTAGCCTGATGGGGCCCACCTTCTCCTTAATCTCCCAAGAAAAAGTTTCTATTTCAGCTTCTGCCTTTTCCTGCCTAGAAGGCTGTGTCTTTCATCCTGGCATGTTTAGAAAAGAGCAAAGAATACCCTCATTGCAATAAGAGGAATTGAGGTTAGACTTCCTTTAGTTTGAAAGACAATGTTGAAAAGAATGCACATTAAAATTCTGTGTGACCTTGGACAAGGCATTTGTTCTCTCTGAGCCTATTTCCCCTTTTGTAAAATGGAAACAACAACAATACATGCCCCACCTAGGAGCTGTGAGGATCAGCAGAAGGCTGTGGTCAGTCTTTGTGGGGGTGCTGTCTTCAAGTATCCAGCAGGCATTTTGTAAAAGAGGGGTTGCACTGTCCCTATGGTCCTGGAAGATAGGGGGCAGAGACCTAGGACAACATGAGGGGACAAGTGACACATCAGGGCCATCCAACCACTTAGCCTGGATGGTTGTACTGACTTTGCTGGGTGGGGATAGGGAGAATGGGCAAACAAAGGTGGCACAGCCCACCGTGCCATGGGCTTCAGAGGGTTCCAGTCCCTCCAAAGAGCAGAAGTGCCCTCTTGACCCTGAGAACTTAGGACTCAATTGTTCTGTGCTCCAAGGTCCCTCTTCCCTCCCAGCTCCCTGCCCACCCTATGAGTTGGAGGCATAGACCTCACCTCTCCAGATTTCAGGACCTCCACCTTGGGAAGAGAACCTCTGCAGGCTGTGGTGGAAGCCTGGTGTGCATAATGCTCTTAGGACATTTCATAGCACCGCTCCCCCAACCAGACCTGACCTCCAGCATAGCCCCGGTGGGCATTGCCCCCAGCCAGATGCATGCCCTCCAACTCCTTGGGTTAGTTCCTAGCTCCGAGGTGTCTCAGAAGTGGAGGTGATAGTTGGTGGTGGGAGGTAGCAGCAGTTTTACAGGTGTCCCAGGCTCAGCCTTCCATAGAACCCACCATGACGCCTGAAGAGGAAGTTCTGTCCAACCCCACCTCCTCTGCCACCTTGGTGCCTCACTTTCAGCCTCTGAGGCTGCCTGCCTGGAGCATGACCCCAGTTCAAACCTTTCGCCTAAGGAAACCTCTTCAGACTACCCCAGATCCCATGGCGCTTCCTCCCCCTACAGCATCCTTTCTCTAAGGGTTTGCAGTAACACCTGTGTTAGAGTCACCAGTGGGGATGAGAGTTCCTTACAGAGGACCATCTGAGTCTGAGTAAGTCTGGAGAGCTATCCATTACAGGAAGCACTGGGACTAGAGGAACACATGAATTGTATTTTGGGCATGAAATTAGCAAAATCCAGAATGACAAAAATTTTATAGGCTAGATTCTTAACACATAAATATCAAGAAAACTGAAGAGATGAGGCAAAACCTCTAAGTTAAAAGTGACTTAATATGGAATACTACTCAGCAATAAAACAAACCAGCTATTAAGCTTTGTAACAACTACTCTGCCTGGTGTGGCTCAGTGGGTTGAATGCAGGCCTGCGAACTGAAAGGTTGCTGGTTCGATTCCAGGTCAAGGCACATGCCTGGGTTGTGCACCAGGTCCCCAGCTGGGGATGTGCGAGAGGCAACCGATTGATGCTTCTCTCTCACACTGATGTTTCTTTTCCCTCCCTTTCTCCTTTCCTTATATCTCTAAAAATAAATAAGTAAAATTTAAGAAAAAAGACTGGTAACAACTTGGATGGATATCGAAAGCATTACGCTGAGTGAAAAATATGAAATCTTAAAAGGTTATGTATTATGTGATTTCATTATCTACATTCTCAAAATGGCAAAATTATAGAGATGGAGAGCAGATCAGTTACTTGTCAGGAGTTAGGGCTGAGGAGGAGGGTTTGACTATAAAGACCTATGTAGCACAAGAAACTTTCTCTGGGTGATAGTATTGTTGTTCCACAAATGTATACAT